GTGAATGTCTACCAGTTGATGAATTCTTATATGAGCAATATGGTAAATATGTTTAATTGTGGTTTTATAGATTATCCAGAAATGACAGCAAGAGTCCTTACAGCTGTCCTCCATAAGACCAGAGTGTATTGTTAAGATCCAGCAGGAAGGGATGGGAAATGATTTAATCTGATTATTTTACTCTCATAGTCTAAATGGCTAATATCAAATTCAAAGCACAAAGATGGACAGAAGACACATCTCCTAGACTATTGTAAAACCTTATGATGGCCTTAAAATTATTTTTTGCGTTATTAGTTCTGATCGACTGTGTGAACAAACACTAGTGTGTACCTGTGACACATCTTAACATATTAAACATTACTGATAGAACTCAAGTAGATATTTTTAAAAAGGATTTGAAACAATGGAAAACATCCACTGCCCACTTTTGGTTCACACTTTTATATCCCCCCTCCGTAAACAACTCTGCCTCCAAACCAAAAAGAGGAGTAATCCCTTCCTGCAGGCACTACTTTCAATCCCTTATTTCATCTGTAATCTACCTACTTTTCTACCTACAGTTTGCCCCAGAAAGACTTTGTCTATGCATAAACCTCATTCAAGAGTTAGAATTTGGGGAACACGTATGCTGCTTTCTGCCTTTTGACCTCAGGGACCTGGGCTCTTTGAACCTCTGACTTGTTGCTTTTGAATGATCAGAGAGATGGGAATGAAGATGTTTCCTGGGTCAGAGATAAGTGATGTACCTTGAGAACAATGTGTCACGTAGTGGGGCTCCCATCATGCCTGCTTTGTTAATCATTTTGTTATTACACCGAGATACTGGTGAATGAATGCAACCCATCAACCACTAGTGGGTAGTGATGGCTGGACCTGCTGAGCTGCAGCCGTTTTTTTTAAGACATTCCTATTGCACAGCAGTGGAGAATGGTTGAGTGGCAGCAGGAAGACATTGCAGATTGCAGAGCCAAGAGGAACAAGCAGAGCTCTGGTTCTAAACCTAACAGATGTTTTGAAAATAAGACTGTTATGATGTAGGGAGGTCTGCAAGGCCTTTGGAAGGTTACTTAAGGCAATGCTTTCAAATCTCCAAGATGCAACTGAAGTGGGATAAAATGAATTCATTGAATTTTAACACACTTCAAAATTTAAATAGATTATAAAATAATACAGGGCATGTAATAAGTGTTGGTTAAGAAACTTTTGGTTGGTTAAGAAACATACTTTGTGTGCATTTCTTATGACAAACTCTCATTTACAAAAAACTTGAAAACTATGGGTTTCTAAGATGTTTCTGGGAGGAAAAAAGGCCCAATTTAGCAAGCATCTTAGGGTTTCAACATTTCCATCTTTTTTCTAAAGCACATGAGACCTTTGTTTCTAGGGCATCAGGGATCCTTTCAATCAGTAAATAGCATTATATTGAAAAAAATTGAAAATTGTTTTTAAGTTGACAAGTAAAAGTACATATTTTATGGTGTATGTTTATGGTAAATAACACGATGTCTCAGTATACAAGTGAATTGTAGAAAACATAAATCAAGCCACTTAACATATGAACTCCATCACATATCTTTTTTTGTTACTGAGAATAAAATCTACTCCCTTGGCGACTTTCAAATATACAATATATTGCTGTAACTCTGGTTGCCATGGAAACTGTAGTTCTCTCGAACTTATTAATTGCTAACTACAATTTTGTGCCCTTTGACAATATCCATCTAGTTCCTCTACCCCTCAGTCCCTGGTAACTCAGCACCATTTTTTTCCTCTCTGTTTTATGTGTTTAAATTTTATACTTTATGTGTCTATTGACTCTTCCAGTATTTGTTTTTATACTGACTTGTTTTACTTAATGTGATGCCACCAAAATTCACTCACATTGTTGAGAATGATAGTTCCCTTTTAAAGGAGTGTATATATATGAGTAATGCCACTTGTTGAATGTGTGCAAGTAGAGGATGTGTGTGAGTTGGGGAATGTGTGTGAGCAGTCCTCAGTGAATGTGGTATTGAGAAAGCAGAATCAAGTTGGTCCGTAAGTGCTTGATAGGCAAAGGGATATACATACATATATATAGGAACAGTATTTTGAATAAAGAGTTAGCATCGATGATGAGCATATTTGGGAGTTGATCAAGAACCTGACCTAAGTCTGAGTTTAGGACTAAGAAACAGTATGTTTATATTTAGAAGGAGGGGTGCCTGTTAAGTCTGGGAATGTAATTAAGATCTGATGATGTAAGCGTTTGGGTTTCCTGATCTGGATGAGGAGGGATGGTGTTTCCAGAAGACAAATGGACATTGGTTTCAATATGTGACTGAAAAACAGGATGAATTAAGCAGGACACAGCTCTGCAGGTGTACGGCCCACCAAGGCTTCAGGTCATCAAGTGTACAGCTTATGAATTAGAGAGGGTGAGCTAGCCTGAGCTAAGAGAGGAAAGAAAACCACTTTTGATGATTATAATCTATGCCGCATATAAATGAAACACCATGGACCTAAAGAGGAATTTATGCTTTCTGACTCCTCTTTCCAGAAATCAACTAATCTTCCTCATCATACTAGCTGGGTTCTCCAGAGGGATACTGTTAACTATTCTCATAACGAAGGTTTAACTTAAATGTCAGATTTTTTAAAACATGCACCAAAGGGAAAGGAGGATGTATTATCATCCTGTGTTTTCTAAGTGGATTGTACAGTTAAATGTGCTTACTGGTACAGGATGGTGAGTTTGGACAAATGTACATACCTGCATCTCATTTCAGGATAGTGAGCACTTACATCTCCCGATAGGTTTTCTCTCTTTTATGTCAACTCCCCAACCCCTTCAGGAATCATTGTCTTGGATAATTAGCATAATCATCACCTTATCATTCATCACAACCATAAAGAAAAGGAAATCATTGTGTGGCTCTGGATCACCACCACAGCTTTGTCTGTATTTAGATTTCACGTGGATGGCTTTTTCCTGCCCCCATGATATTTTTTTAGGTTAGCCCACATTGTGACATGTATCAGAAGTTTGTTCCATTTTAGGGTAAAGTGATGTTCCTGGTAGGAATTTGACACCATTTAAAGTCCGTCCCTCAATTTACATTGTTTCCAGTGTTTGGCTGCAATGAGTGAATCTGTTGTGAAATTTTTTTAAATGGGCTTTTTTTGTTCACGTGTGTTTTCATTTCACTTGAGTAAACAGGTAGGGAGGACCTCCTGTATATTTAGCTATACAATAAACTGTCCTCTAAAGGATTCATAACATTTTGTGTTTTCTTTACATTCTATATTTATATCTAGGTTCAGGGGTCCCAGATTCTCCCCAGTGAATTTAGTATTAATGTTGTAGCTACTCTGGTGGGTGAGTGATGGGATATCACTACATCCTTAGTTTATACTTCTCTCCTGTCTTGTGCGTGGGAACAAGTGCTATTGACACCTTGAGACATCTGTTCAAATAATCTCCCCAGCTTTCTTAATCAGGTTGCTTGATCTTCTGTGGGAATTCCCTATATATTCTGGATTGGACTTCAGGTATCCATTTTATGAGTATTTTCTCTCAGGCTGTAGCTTTCCATTTATTTTCTTAACAGTGTCCTTAGATGAGGAGTTGATTTGCATCTTGGTCATGCCCAATTTATCAATACTTTCTGTTATGGTGATTGCTGTGAGTTTTAGATGGTAAATTTTTGTCTTCCTCAAGACAGCTGAATTCCCTCCTGTGTTTTTATGACTTGTGTTATGAGATCTATGACCTTTGACTCCTTAGCTTTCTGTGACCTTCTGTTTAAGGTCCACTACCTCATCAGCTGTCCCTACAGGGAGTCTTCTCAGGGTGGACAGTTAGGAGAGCACTTCTGTGTCCTGGAGGATTAATTTATTTTCACTATTTCTCTCAGAAGACATTTTTCATATATCTTCCTGTGCTTGATTTAGTATCTTTTCTGCTAGATCATTTTGATTGTATTATGTTCTTAATATGTAAACTTGATAAGAAGAACACAGGGTATAGTCTATTAACCTTAATTCATTGCAACATCAGATTTAGATCCCCATGTTTCGTATAGCAGTTAATACTCAGTAGATGTTGAATCACATTATTGTTTTGGGAGAACCAATTCTGAGTCAGGATTTCAAACTTGCCACTCATAATTTAATTTCTACTTTTAAATTCTACCAGAAGATGAGCCCAAAGGAGATCATTTTTATAGTAGATTTCAAAGTAGGCTCTTCCTTTTACTTTTTTATTCTCTTGAGATATTTATTTAAAATATCTTTACTTTGTTTTAGTATTATTTGAATTCTTTTTTCATTTTATTACCATGAGACTATTAACATTGCTAAAGGTGCAACCTGAAACTTGGATTTTTCAAATATACTATTTTTGAACTAATTTTATGCCCCCAAACAAACCTATTTTCTATGTAAAATAGAGCAGCAATGTCTTTTATATAAAATGCATTCATTTTCTAAGTGTTATGCCACATGTAGAAGTGATAGATTTGAATGATCTCATTTCAAGGAAGTCTTTTGAATGCTATTTTAGATTAGAGCTTTCAAGATCAAGTAATGCAATGAACAAAGAATTTGTCCCATGAAATCATATTTGCATTAATAGCATTGTTTGGAAGAATTTATTCAATTTGCTTTGGTAACAATATCAGTATTCTGGATTTGTGGGAAAGTGGCTCCAGCCCCTCTTAATAAATCAGCACATGTTTTGTCATTTCAACTCCTTACTACTAAGCATATTCTTCTTTCATAAGATACTTGAATGCCAAGAGGTGCCGTACATTGTTTACAGTGGAAATTTTGTTCTGTTATATAAAGCTTGTAGTTATTGCAGATGTTATTGGTCTTCATGCTTATGGAGCAAGTTGTATTATTTGTTTTATGGCACACAGTCATTGCGTTTTCCCATCTTTTAAAATTGCCTTTTTGATCACTTGAAAAACCAAAGTTGTTCAAAAAAGCTAAGTAAATCTCTCTCTTTTCTTCAGAATCAAGTTTCTTACTGGGAAACGCCCAGATTGTGGACTGGCCTGTAGTTTACAGTAATGACGGTTTTTGTAAACTCTCTGGGTATCATCGAGCTGACGTCATGCAGAAAAGCAGCACTTGCAGGTATGTGGATCAAATAACTTTGGAATATTTTCCAAATATGAATAGAATTCTGAGAGTGGCTGAGAGGTTTGTGTTTACTTATACTCATAACTTGATGAAAATTATGTTAGAAATGTAAAAAGAAGACTTAATTGGGAACAACAAATATGTATTTTAAGAGTTGATTATGATAATTTTTGCAAAGGAAGGTTTTACTTATGTGTGAACTAATTCACTTGTTAAAACTTGTTTAGTCACCTCTAATGAACCAGGAGGTAGCACAGGTACTGGGTGATCACAGAAGTAGTCAGAATCAAGGAGCCACTGATGACATTGACACTTCTAGAGTAACTAAAATCGTGCCTAACAAAATAGAAACAATGACCTGACCAAGTAAAGCATGGTTCTCAAGAACATCAAGGCATGAGGGTGAGCTCTTACATTGAATCAACCATTTGCCTTTATAAAGTGTTGGTATGGTTATCATAGCTGTTTGCTTACTTATGACAACTTTAAAAATAGGTCATATTTACAAGTTTAAGGAGAATTATGATAAAAGGGGATCAGAAAACAAGCAAACAAATAAACCAATCTATATATAAGGAAGTGATTTAGAATCTAAAACTTTGCCACCATATTTCTTTTTTTCTTTTATTATTTTAATTTTAAATAGCTTGTTTCAGTTCCCTCTCCGTCCCTTCCTCCGGCACCTCCCCCACCATCCCCCCCCAGCCTCCCACCCTATCGCCACTTCCTTCCACATAGGGGATATCTAGAGTCTGTCATTTCACTCAGGGCAGGGTCCAGGCACTCCCCTAAGAGTCCAGGCTGAGAGAGCATCCCTCTTTGTGTTATGGACACACAAAGTCCTTTTTTTTCCATTCTAATTTTTTTTAAATTTTATTTTCCAGTTTAAATTTAGATAAGAAACAAGGTTTCTTCACAAGTCAGTTCCAGATCCCTCTCCCATTCCCTCCCTTCCTCCCGAGCCCTCCCCCCCCCGTTATCCCCTCATTTCCCCAGGGAGGGTGAGGCCCTCCATGGGGGTGTGCATAGTCTGTCATTTCATATAGGGCAGGGCCTAGACCCTTCCCCAAGAGTTCAGGGTGAGAGTGCACCTCACATTGTTCTATGGGAGTCCAAAGTCCGTGTGTATACTTGGGATGGGTACTGATCTGCTGCCCAAGGCTCAATAGATTCCCTAGGCCTCCTCACTGACACCCAGATTCAGGGGGTCTTGATCAGTCCCATGCTGGATTCCCAGGCTGAGGCCTGGGATTCAAGAGTTAACCTTTGTCTGGTCAGCTGTTTCTGGGGGTTAAACCAGTCCAGTCTTAATCCCTTTGATCATCAGTCCTCCCTCTCTGTTACTGGCTTTCTTGAGTTCAGCTCAGTACTTAACCAAGGGAGTCTCCCCTCTTCTTCGATCAGCCACTAAATAAAGTTTCTGTTTCCCAGACTCTCTGGCCATAGGATTGTAGGCTGGCACTCCCCAGATCTATGTCTAAAATCCATATATGAGAGAGTACATGCCATGTTTCTCTTTTTGTGACTGGGTTACCTCACTTAGGATGGTTTCTTCTAGTGTCATCCATTTTCCTGCGAATCTCATAATTCCATTATTTTTTTTTTGTTTGTATGCCAGGGATAAACCCTGATCCACTGGCCAGGGCCCTATAGGTTGCCCAGGCCTCCTCACTGACACTCACATTCAGGGGGTCAGGATCAGTCCTATGTTGGCCTCCCAGCTGTCGGTCTTTCAGTAAGGACAGATGGGACCTGTCCCCCATCCCCTACCGGCTTAGTTTTTCTTTAAATTTCTAGCTTAACTAAGTGTTGGAGTTAAATTATTTTGGAACTGAAAAGGATCTTTTTAGTTCAAGTTCTGAGAAAACATATGTGGTGCTGTGTTAAGGGACTTGCTCACACCTGGTTTTTGTTCTCTACCCATTTATGTGGAGATGCAATGTGCGTGCGTGCGTGCATGTGTGTGTGTGTGTATATGTGTGTGTGCAATGTGTGTGTAAATGATTTATATGTATGTGAATGATCTGCGTCTTCATGAAGTCTAAACCTGAACCTATACACAGAAAAGCTTACATAACTTTTGCAAAAGAGATTCTAACACCTCTTAAATCTATTGAACCAGAGTTAGCCAAAACAGGTGTTCAGGGCCAGTAGTTGGCATGTTACATCAGAAGTTTAGATAATTTTGATGTTTATCAGGGCTTGAGAAAAATCTGTTCACACTTCTTTTTCCTCTCCCTCTCCACCACCAGACACCCTCTTTTTTATTTCTCTACTGAGGTTATTCCTACATTTTCTACACTCCAAAGAATGAGGCCAAAGAATAAATGGGAACAATGAAAACTATTGCCTGTGGATGGGCCAAACCTTTGGTGGTACTGATGTCTTTTTCCACAGGATAGAAATGTGATCTTTGTGATAGAAAAAAACCATAAAATACTAAGAGAGTGTGTAAGTGTTGTGGGAGGTGACACACAATATGTTGTGTATAATTGCTTCCAAGAGACTTTAAATTAGGGAAAAGGATATCTTTCTGGTCAACCTTACTGTGTGGGATAGGTATCATAAAGATCCCAGAAGAACACAAGTGCCCCTGTCTCTTCTTGGATGGTTGGAATCTCAGTTTTGTTCCAGGTGCCATTTTCCACCTAACAAGATATGTGATTCTCAAAGTAAGACATGCTTGTCCCTTCATTGACTCCAGATATTTCATTGTGTGTATCATGTTTGTTTTAAATTACCTTGCCATATTTGTGTGTGTGTGTGTGTGTATGTTTGTATAAACTGTGTGTGTGTGTGTTTTATGTACAAGTATGTGTAGGTATGAGCAGCTATGCTCATGCATGTGGAGGTCAGGAGAGGACATTCTGCATCTTTCTCTATTGTTCACTTTATTTATTTATTTATTTATTTATTTATTTATTTATTTATGCGTGTCAAGTTCTTTCACTGAACTAATTGAAGTAGAAGCTTACTCTTTTAGTTAGGCTCTATGGCCAGTGAGTTTCTGGGACCTGCTTGTCTCTGTCTTACAAACCTGGGGTTACATGGGAGCTGGGGTTTTGAACTGACATCCTCAGTGCCTTTACCCATTAAATAATGTCACCAGCTCTCAAGCTGGGGGTGGGGAGAGGGGCTTTGTCCTATTGCTTTAGTTGTTTTTGAGAATTCTGACTATTGCTATCTGGATCTATTTTCCCTTTGCCCCTTCTCTTCAGTTTTTGGAGACAGAGTTTCTCCATGTAGCCTTCCTTCTTGTGTCCCACGTGTTTGTCCAGTCCCATGATGTTTTATTTAGTAAATGTAGGTTTTTCTTTTCCCTACAGGCAGATACATAAAAAATACTTGTGCATCATTTTGTTTTTGTTCTGAAAGAGTTACATTTTCCTTCATGTCACCAGTATCAGGAGTACCTTGAAAACAGGGATTTTCATTATGTTTACTTTATAAAGCTTTACATCATTTATCTTCTGTCTGTCTGTCTGTCTGTCTGTCCGTCTATCTATCTGTATCTATTGTGTATATGTGCTGTGTGGCATGATGTGCGTATAGAAGCCAGAGGACAACGAATGGAAGTTGTCTTTCTCCTTCCACCATGTAAACTCCAGGAATTGAGTTCAGGTAGTTAGGCTTAGCAGCAAGTCACCTTACCCACTGAATCATCTCACCAGTCCAGGCTTACTTTTAGATGCACTATTTATGGAATCTAAGAGTGCTTTGTTACCTGTCTTTGTTAAGTTATATTGCTTTCTTTTGCAGCAAACTAACCTAGATCTCCCATGTTTCTGCAAACCTTGATTTATTTTTGGAATTTCACCTCATGTGTTAAAGCATTCCAGGAAGTTTTGGATTATTTGGACTTTTTCACTGTGATACAAAATGATCATGTCCTCTCTCAAGTCTCCTCGCCTCTCAGAGGCACTTTCAAAAGTGGTGATGTGCTGAAAACACCGTCTTTACTCACGTGTACCAAACACAGAGGGTGCTTTGCTCATCTCTAGGCTGCAGCCATTTAAGGCCTACACAGAGTGGCTGATGAATGAACAGATGACCTACCCTAGCCCCGACAGCTTTTCTTGGAAGCGTGTATTTGTGTCAATGCATTTCCATTTTAAGCTTTCTCATCCTTCTTTAAAAAATGAACTTTACCTGCTTTGTGTTGATTGCACCATCATATAGAAGAGCAAAGACCCAGAAATAGTAAAGACATTAAGTTGTAGGAAATTTGTTTAGCAGTGTTATGGCAGAGCCCTAACTTCCTAAACCACATATGCTGAAAGCACAGCAGTGGGTAAAGCAAATGACAGATTTCAGGACAGAAAACAAAACAAAACAAAACAAACAAACAAACAAGTATATTTATTAAGCAGGATATGTGCTGTGAGTCCAATATCTCATAGTATTTAGATTTCTCTATTTCTTGGAAAATTTTATAAAATACTTTGGACATGAAATGCAAGGAGACAGAAGAAGGGTAGAATAAAATTACACCCAGATTTAGAAAAGCAAGGTTAGTACTAAAGGTTGTTATGTTATAATCAGCACTTCTGGAATCACTGAATTCCACTGGAATGTGATCATTCGCCTCACACAATGAAGAGCTTTGAAAATAAATCAAATAATTTAACTGACTTTTTTTGGATCTGTATAATTCTTTTTATTATTCCTTAAAGTTAGCTTATAAGGAAATGGCTTCTCTTATAAGTAAGAAGATCTTATCACTAAGTGAAGGAACAGAAATTATTCAAACAATCAAACAAATAAAGATAAATGTCAGAGAGGGCACTAGAAGGATGCATTCCTGCTACAACATTAGGTTTCACAACACCAAAGCCATCATCTTTGGATGAATATAACAAGAGGGAAGATATTCCCAAAGATACAGGAATATAACATATGTTATAATTGCTCATTTGATAATCAAATAATGCCCATTGCATGTACTAACTCAGGCCATCTGTGGGGTTCTAATACTATGGTACAGCATTCCTGCTAGGCCACAGTAGTGTAGGAATGGGTAAATGAGAAATTTCCAAGCAATGTTTGATTTCACAAAGTGTGTTAGACTGGTAATAAAGGTTTGATTAGCAAAGTCATGTGCAGAGATTAATGTGGATATAGTTCTACTGTGTCATGTCCAGTAAGTTTTACATGTTGTAATGAAGTATTCATGGATTATATGGTTATTACAATGGATATAACATGCACTGTGATGTAATACTAATAAATCATTTATTATATACCTTCAAAAAACCCAAAATACTCAAACAAACAAAAAAAGAAATGGGCTTCATTATGACATTATTAATCTTCAAAGTTATCTTATAAAGAAATGGGCTTCATTACGGCATTTCTGCAAGCAAACACCACTGCACTTTGTTCTTCCTCGTCCTCTCCCACTGTCCTCCTCACCTCCTTCTCGTGGACTTCCTCCTCCCTTCTGACAGTGCTCCCTCATGCTTTCATGCCACATGGATTCTGTTATGCTCTTTTCTGTCACCTCCCTATCAAATGTAACAAAGGAAATAATAATAAAATGGCATCACAGAGTCTTTAAAGGAAGATGACACAAAGTTTCCTTCTAAAGATGCAGTGTATCAGGAGAATACGTCTTGGCCATCAGCAGAAACAGTACCATATATGGTCTAAACATGGTGGAAATTTTGTAATTTTAATGACTAATTTTATTCAAATTTATGAAAATAAGAAACCAGTGACTAACAAACCAGTGAGCTATGATATCATGTAGCAGAGAAATACATATTATATTTAATATATAACATTATTATATTAAATATATATCATATGTAATATATATTTGACTTGCATATATATGTATATAATTTGTATTATTTGATTATTTGAACTAATGTCAATGAGATTAGGGTGACAATGAAGTAAATAGTGGCATGACATTATTTTAGAATATTCAAATGTGAATCTTTTTATCAGAAAATAAAAATCAAATCATGTTTTTACATATCAAGGGACTGAAATTATTTCTTCTGTCTTTTTATTTTTCCATATTTTGTTTAATCTTTCTCTCGCTGGATTGACTTAAACCCAATTGTCAGCTTGTTATAATACTGCCATTGTGCTATATTTATTTTTACAAACATTTTGTTTCATCTTCACCTCAATCCTGTTTTCTTCATGTGGTCGCCTAGTTGCTGGTACTGTGTGTCTTGCTAGCACACTCTCCACTCATATACTAACAATAGGCTCTTGAAATATAATTGCTTTCCAAAGTTCATTTTTAAGACCTACAGTGTTGCACTGAGAAGCACTACTCATGATTTGGAAGTTTTCACCCACCACTATGTTTTTGAGACTTCCATAGGCCTTTACATCACGTGCCGCTTCATTGTAACTGGTTGTAGTTGAATGTATGATTGGCATAGTCTTCTTCTTATATGTCCATTCTACCCACAACATCTGACTTCCTGTATTTCACACATCAAACAAGTTGAAGATGAGCAACCTTATACACACCACAGCCTTGTCTCAGAAATACTGTCTATGAATCAGACTGAAACAGCAATATGCAAATTCTATAAAGGAACCCTCAGATGGCTGTCCAGAGAGTCCTTCTAGTGTCACAGTCCCCGACTATGGCTAAGACTTAATGGGTTTCTACTTCCTTGCCGTTCATAACAGTACCTACATTTTGAATCTCTCTTTGTCTCTGTCTCTGTCTCTCACACACACAAATGGTAGTCTCACTTTTGGCTTTGCTAAAGGAAAATAAAAAGATATTCTATAACATATTAGGAATCCAAGGACTTCCCAATCTATTTTGTTTTATAATCTAGTAATTGAATTTCTAAGCCTTGGATTATTTGGTGTGTGTTAGAGGACACAAATGTATCGATTATTCAAAGGACTATGTTTTTTTCCATTTTGATCATATTTTTATTTTTAGTGTTTTTCAACTTTTTATTACTTTAATTTTCATATTCCAATACGAGTTCCTCCTCCCTCCTCTCCTCCAGCTCCCCCTATTATCCCCCCATGTGCTCCTCAGAGAGGGTAAGGCTTCTCCTAGGAAGTTTACTAAGTCTGTCCCATCATCTCGTTGATGCAGGACCAAGGAACCTCCCCATCCCCAACATCCCTGTGTCTAGGCTGAGCAAGGTATCTCTCCATATAGAATGGGCTCCACTAAGTCAGTTTGAGTTAGATCTTGGACCCAACGCCAGTGGCCTTACAGCAACATTATTCATAATAGTCAGATTTTGGAAACAGCCTAGATGCCCCTCAACCGAATAATGGATAAAGAAAATGTGGTACATTTATACAATGGAGTACTACTCAGTTGTAAGAAACGATGGCATCCTAAAATTTGCAGGTCAATGTACAGAACTAGAAAAAAACCATACTGCGTAAGGTAACCCAGACTCAGAAAGAAGAATATAGCATGTACTCACTCATAAGTGGATACCAAGCATAAAGCAAAAAAAAATACGCACCCTACAGTTCACAACCCCAGAGAAGCTAGAACCCCCTTCCAGAAACAGATGGAAGCAGATGCAGAAATCTACGACTAACCATCGGGCCAAGCTTCTGGAGTAAAATTGAAGTTGGGGAGGAGAGAGAATATGAACAAAGGAGTCGAGACCATGGTGGGAAAACCCACATAATCAGCTGACCTGAGCTAGTGAGAGATGACTGACTCCAGTCTGACAACTGGGGAACCTGCATAAGACTGAACTAGATAGACTCCCTTAATATAGGTGACAATGGTGTGGCTAGGAGAATATATGAGGACTATAGTTTTTTCATTTTTTATTTAAATTAGAAACAAGCTAGCTTCACATGTAAATCCCAGTTCCCTCTCCTCTTCTCCTGCCCCCCACCAACACCCCCAAATTCCCACCCACCCCTTCGATCCCTAGGGAGGGTGAGGCCTTCCACTGGGGAATCTTCAATCTCTGTCATATCATCCCAGGCAGGGCCTATGTCATCCCCCATGTGTCCAGGCTAAGAGAGAGCATCCCTCCAAGTGGAATGGGCTCCCAAAGTCCATTTGTACACCAGGGGTAAATACTGATCTACTTTCCAAGGCCCCATAGATTGCCGAGGCCTCCTCACTGACACCTACATTCAGGGGGTCTGGATTAGTCCCATGCTTGCCTCTCAATCACCAGTCTGGGGTTCATGAAGTCCCCCTTCTTCAGGTCAGCTGCCTCAGTGGGTTTCACCAGCCGGATCTTGACTCCTTTGCTCATCACTCCTCCCTCTTTGCAACTGGATTCCAGGAGTTCAGTTCAGTGTTTAGCTGTGGGTATCTGCCTCTGCTTCCACCAGTCACTGGATGAAGATTCTAGGATGGCATATAAAGTATACCATCTCATTATTGAGGGAGGACATTTAAAGTAGCCTCCATGCCAGTTGGTGTCATCCTTGTATCTCTGAAATTCTCACTAGTGCCAGATGTCTCCTCAAGCCTTTAATGGCTCCCTCTATTATGGTAACTTTCATCCTTCTCTCCTCTATTCTTTCCCTGACTCAACCTTCCTGCTCCCCCATGTCCTCCTCTCCCCTCCTCTTCTCCCCCTCTCTTTCTCTCCTCTCCTGCCATGCTCCCAATCTCCAAAGGAGATCCCCTTCCATTCCCCTTCTCTGAGGTACCATGCATATCTCTCTTAGAGTCTTCCCTGTCTCTCAGACTCTCTGGCGGTGGGATTGTAGGCTGGCAATTCTTTGCTTCATGTCTAAAATCCATATATGAGTGAGTACATACCATGTTTGTCTTTTTGTGACTGGGTTACCTCACTCAGGATCATTTCTTCTAGTGCCATCTATTTGCTTGCGAATTTCAAGATTCCATTGTTTTTTTCCCACTGAGTAGTACTCCATTGTGTAAATGTACCACATTTTCTCTATCCACTCTTCAGTTGAGGGGCATCATAGGTTTTAATGAAAGGAGTTCTGGCATTTGAAACTTGTTATCAAAGATTAGGTGTGAACCAATACAACCTTCTCCTTTTCTTTAACCTGCAACATTAGAGAAATCTGTTCTGCTTTCGTTTTTGGGATAGTGGGGGAGGAAGACCAGTTATAGGTTAGGTAGGGGTGCTTGCAGAGCAGAATATGCATTCACAAATACCCCACCACACCATTGGAAAGCCATTCCTAATCCCTTACCCAAGTCATCAAATTAAATAGCAAAGCAGAGATGTTGAGTTACACTGTGAGACTTCACAAGCAGTTTTATTAACACAAGATTACCTCAGCATCCCACAAGAGTGCATCAGACATGATGATGGGAGTCAGCTGGCTCCATTTGTCTGAGGACTCTGCTTCTCATCGAGTGACCGAAGAAAGCTGTAGGAAGGAAGAGATGCCTCACTGAAATTAAACTCCCAAGGTTGGGATACCCAATACTATTCTGATTCCCTTGTATTACATGCCCTGGACCTGTCATATTTGACTCTATCTAAATCCTTTTCAGACCATATAAATAAATGGGTTGTAAATCCATTTGGTTAGGATCTACTGTATAAAGTAATGTCTTTGAACTGTTGTTAAATTACTTCTTTCAGATTCCCGAAGATGATGGTCTTGTTTGATTTTTCAGCTTTCCTCCTTAACTCTCTCTCAGGGTTCTTTTTCTTCTTTGACTACATATCTCAGTTTGTGTTTCCATCCCTCAGCTCTCTAGTGACTCTGCTGTTGCCACCAGCCCCAAGCTGAACCCCATGCTTAGCAACAGCATAACTCACTCTGTGTTAGTTCTTTGTCGGAGCATTTGCTGGTATGTGAGTTACAGCCTGCATGTTTTATTCCCCTTTTTTGAGTGGTGACTATATACATGTGGAGTTTCTCTCCATCTGGGAACATTGCTGGCCAACGGAAAAGTAAGATGGGTTGGTGGGGCTCATGATTAACTTATTTATTTACTTTAGAGTTGTTACAAGACTCTTTCCTCTGTTAGAAGTCTATCAACCTTACAGCTCTCTTGGTTGTTAAATATAATGAGGACTGTTTATGAGATTTTGATGAGGGAAAATGGAATGCAAGAATAAAGAAACTCTACTATGAGCCAAAGGCACAATTCTCAAAGATATCCTTGGACAGATGTAAATAGAAGAAAGGTAGATGCTGAGTCAAGCCCAATAGAGCCTGGGCTAGTCCCAAAGAGAATATTCCCTCTCACTCTGAAGTTCAAATCTTATCACCAAGTTTGTTGTATGGCAGAATGTGCTGGCCATTATACAGAATTGGGCTGGCATAGGAGGTTTTCTCATGGTTCCCAGGAGAGGAAGTCATAGCACTGTATGTCTCCCTATGTGACCCATTTTTTAAATTAATTTTTATTTAAATTAAAAATAATCTTATTTTATATACCAATCCCAATTCCTTCTCCCTCCTGCCCTCTCACTCCCCACCATCTCCCCATCCCATTCCCCATCCACTCTTCAGGGGGGGGTGGTGAGGCCTCCCATGGGGAATCATCAAAGTCTGTCACATCATTTGGGGCATGACCTAGGCTCTCCCCTGTGTATCTAGGTTGAGAGAGTATCCCTCCATAGGGAATGGGCTTCCAAAGCCCATTCATGCAATTGGGTAAATACAGGTTCCACTGCCAGTGACCCTATAGACTGTCCAAGCCACCCAACTGACACCCATGTTTAGGGGACCTGGTTGAGTTTTATGCAGGCTCTCTAGCTGTCAGTCTGGAGTGTGTGAGCTCCCACTTGCTTAGGTCAGTCGGGGTTTCCCCAGCATGGTCTTGACCCCTTTGCTCATCACTCCTTCCTCTCTACAACTGGATTGAACGCACTGGCACAGGAGACCACTTCCTGAACATAACACCAGTAGCACAGACACTGAGATCTACAATTAATAAACAGAACCTCCTGAGACTGAGAAGCTTCTGTAAGGCAAAGGACACAGCCAACAAGATAAAACGGCAGCCCACAGAATGGGAAACGATCTTCACCAATCCCATATCTGACAGAGGGCTGATCTCCAAAATATACACAGAACCCAAGAAGCTAGTCACCAAAATACCAAATAATCCAATTATAAAATGAGGTACAGATCTAAATAGAGAATTCTCAATGGAGGAATCTAAAATGGTTGGAAGACACTTAACAAATTGCTCAGCATCCTTAGCCATCAGGGAAATGCAAATCAAAACAATTCTGAGATACCATATTAGACCTGTGACCCATCTTTGTGTTCTTGATTGTGGGAAAGCAAGGAATTTTACCTGACCTATGGGCATTTTTTAATAGCTCCATTCATAAGAAGTGGTTCAGTAGTGTTCCAACATCACATGACCTGTTATAATTTGTAATTTCATGCACATTATTCTTTTAATCTTTATGCTTGAGTCATATTATCACTGTCATCATTTTGCTGATGAAGAAACTAAGACTAGTGAGTAGGGGGTCTGATGACTTGCTCATTAAATATAACTTGCCAGTAGCTCTTTGAATACAGGGGTCCTCTGGTATATCACAGGTTCACAGTACCACAGGAGAGGTGGGTCACTGCTGTGAAACTAATTCCATTTTACTTCCAACAAAATAAGATGAAAGTCAGTTGGAATTCCTAAAGGTCAGATTATTCTGTATGAGTAGACATTTTATAGCATAATTGCTACTTCTAAAATATGAGTCCCTTCAGATTTCATTAACCATTCAATAACTGTATTGAGTTTTGGTTCTAAGTCAAGGCTTGAGAAATTGCAATAAAACAGCCAGCATTTGCAAGTAAAATATACAATCAAATAAACATGCCTTATCCACTTAACAAAATAGCATTGTCCATTTCTTGGGAAACATTGAGCAGAAATAGTATATATATACATATACATATATATTTATATATTATAGTATATTATCTTTAAAATAATATTTATTTATGTTCCATATTTATATTATAATAAATTCTAAAATGTATTTTATGATATATAAATGTTATATATGTAACTATATATTTAAATAATAATATCCTTGTATCTCATGGTTATATTCACATTTCTGATAGCTAGGGGTGTTGAACTTCTTTTCTTCATAGAGCTGTGGCTGTATTTCTTTGTTTTAAAAATGTATAATTCAGGTAATTTGTTCATTTACAATTGGATTCAATTTTTGTTTGCACATTTTTAATTCCTTATGTATTCTGAATGTAATCCCTTGTCAGATGAGACCTTTCAGATTCTTGAGCTCTAACCACTCTATTGGCTGATGGAGCTTTGACTTTTACTTTTGTCACCTGTGCCTTACAGAGTCACCCTGGGCATTGCATGCATCACCTTCTTCTGCTGTTTCCTCTCGGTCTTCTAATTGTTTCATAGTTTCACACTTAGTCCTTTAGTCCTATTTTCTGTTGGTTTGGGTTAGGCTGAGAGAAAGGCATGGAGTTTCACTCTTCTGCATATAGATATTCAGTTTGCCTGGGATAATTGTGTATGATCTCTAAAGTATTTGTGTGTGTGTGTGTGTGTGTGTGCGTGAGTGTGTGTACATGTGAGTGTGTGAGTGCATATGAGTGTGTGTGCACACATGTGAGAATGATTGTGTGAGCGTGCATGTATGAGTGTGTGTGTATGAGTGAGCGAGTGTGTGATTGTGTGCACATGCATGATTGAGTGTGTATGTGTGTGTATGCATGCATGTTCATGAGTGAGTTTTTGTGCATGTGTGTGTGTGTGTGTGTGTGTGTGTAAGTTTGTGTGTGGGGGGTGTTTAGCTCCCTTGGTCATAGATATTAGCTATAGACATGTGGATTTACTTCTGGAGTCTCTATTTTTGGCTTTCCTGGTTTGCATGTCAGAATTTATGCAGTACCTGTGTTATGTGGCTACTGTTGTCATGTAGTGTGTATTGCAATTTCTTATTGTAATTGGCTCCAGATTTCTATTCTTTTATTGTCAAGAATGTTTTTATTCTTTGGAGTGTTCTGTGCTTTCTTATGAATTTGAGGAATTTTTTCTTTCTGTGAAGAATGGCAGTGGTATTGTGATAGAAGACACATTAGGGGTCTATATTTTGTTGAGTAACATGGATATCCTAGCACTATTAATTGTTCTAATCCATATACACGTGAGATCTTTTCATTCATGATTTTTATCCATTTTTTAAAAATAAGATGTTTGTAGTTTTCATTGTGGAGGTCATTTTCTCCCTGGGATTAATTTGCTTCTAGGTATTTGATTTTCAATAGCTATTACGAATGGGCTTGCTTTGTGAATTCTTTCTCAGCAAGTCCATCACGGTGCGTAAAAATGCTTCTGATATTTCTATATAGGTTTTGTACACTGAAAATACCAAGATATTTTTGTATTGGTTTTGTATTCTGAAAGTATCAAATTTAGCAGCTTGTCCTGGTAGTCTTCTGATGGGGTCTTTAAATTGTTTTTTTTTACAAACAGGATCACCTGACTTCCTTTCTATTTGGATATCGTGTTTTCTTTCTTTGGCCTAATTGCTCTGGCTAAGTATGCCATCCTTTGTGCACTGAGAGGGGTACAAGTAGACAGTGTTGTCCAGATCTTACAGGAAACAGTCTTGACATTAGTGACCTTTTTTTTTATGCTGGGGTCACTTGTTCTATTCCATTGTTTATCTCTGATACTTCTTTGTTAAGTGCTTATCGGGACTCGAATGGTCTGTCCAATGACAAAAGGGGGTTGTTGATATTCACAGCTATCACTGTGTTGTAACCTACTTCTTCCTTTAAATATAACAGTATTTTCCTTGTAGCATTGAGTATTTCATTTTATTTTGAGACAGTATTACTCTATGTAGCACTGGCTGTCCTGGAACTTGTTATGTAGAAAAGGCTGGCTTAGAATTTACATAAATCTGCTTGCCTCTGCCTCTTAAGTACTCGGATTAAAAGTGTGTGCCACTATGCCTGGCCTTAAAATGGGATATTCTAGCATCAGATAGATACACATGTGTATTGAGTAGATTACTTTCCTCAGCACATAGTTCCCACGCCTCTGTGTCTTTCTACCATTTTTGGTTTACCGTCTGCTTGTCTAAGCACAGCCATTCTTGCTTGCTTGATGTGGAGTGGCTTTTCTGTTCCATTTGTTTCTGTGTCTGTGTATCCTCAATGGTGAAGACTTCAGTCCTACTTGTAAGCATCATTTTGAGTCTTGCTTTCTAGTCCATTCAGCCAATATTTATTTTACTTGGAGCTTTTAATGTGTTTGCATCCAAGGTTATTAATGTTTCATATAGAACTATTTGTATCATTTTGTTCCACATTCCATCTCTCAGTGGTGTTTTATATTTGTTGTTTACTGTATGGATGAGATTTGATTCTCTTTATCTTTAATGTAACTGATCTTCTAGAAGGTTTTAGTCTTTTGTATCTTTTCATGGGGGCCTCTATTGTTCTTTTGTTTTTTCACTCTCAAGTATAGCTTCCTTTGATCACATTGTGTTAAGGGTGCTCTAAAGATGATGGAATCCCTAACTTTTATCTGGGACTGTGACCTTGGACATTGTTGTAGCTTTCCTTTGATACTCCGTAGCATCTCTAAGTGTAATAGTCTGGGTTAACAATCAGTTTCCCCTCTATAACTTTTAATTTGGTGTTATATTGTCTTGTAGTGCATTAGTTTTCTGTTGAAAAATCTCTCATGAATTTAATGGGGGTGATGCTAAGTGTGAGTGAGTGTTCCTTTTTTTCTTTTTAGAGTTTTCAAGTTTGCCTATGAAATGTAGTGATGAAGACATGTTTGAATCAAATCGATTAGAGGTCTTTTTGGCTTCCTGGGCCTCTTCTATGCCTGTATCTCTCTAAGCTTAAGGAAGTTTTATCAAGTTTTTGTTTGTCAGTATGGAAGTTTCATCATTTGTTTTCATGTAGCTCATCATGACCTAAAACTCACCAAGGGAGACACTGAACTTCTTATTCTTCTCTTTCTGACTTCTGGTTCTGGAATTCCAAACATGTGCAACTGTGTCCTGTTTTATGCAGTGCTGGAGATCAAACTCAGGACTCTGTCCATGTTACAGATGTACTCTGTCACTGATAGTCACACCCATTCCTAGTATGGAGCTTCCTAAAACCTGAAAACTACAGTATTCCCGAATTACACTACTCCTGGATGTGCACCTAGAGGACTTTGAGTCCTACCACTGAGATACTTGACCATTCATGGTCTTTGCTGCACCATTCACATTAGTGGAGTAATGAAAGTAGTCTCCATGCCTATCGGTAGATGAATGGGTAAAGAAAATGTGGTACTTACACTCAATGGGATTTTAGTCAGCCATAAAGAAAAATGAAATCGTGACATAGTCGGGAAAATGGATGGAAGTGGGACTCATTTGTTATGTGAATAGGTTTTCTATGTTTTCCCCTTTCCTTACCTCCCGGAAAGGTCATAATTCGAACATTTGTTCATTTATACACATCTCATCAGTCTTGGAAACTTTCTTTGTTCTTTCTAAGGATTTTTCCCTTTGGTAGTTCAAAAGGTCTGTCTTTAAGTTGAGACATTCTTCTGCTTGATCTAGCTTGTTGAGGCTCTTGGTCATATCATCTATTTGGCTTATTTCATTCTTCAAGTCCAGTGTTTATAGTTGGTTCCTTTTGATGATTTCTCTCCTTGCTGAATTTCTTATTCATTTCATTGATTGGCTTCCCTATTTCACAGAATTATTCAAATTCCCTTGTATGTCACTGAATGCCCTTCAACAGTTCTTTTCTTTTTTGGTTTTACGAGATAGGGTTTCTCTGTATTGTTTTGGAGGCTGTCGGTCCAGCCCGGCCTCGAACTCACAGAGATCCGCCTGCCTCTGCCTCCCGAGTGCTGGGATTAAAGGTGTGCACCACCACTGCCCTGCCAACAGTTCTTTTGAATTCTTGCTCAGGCATTTTGTCTACTTCCCCATCTCTGAAATCTTGTTGGAGAGTAACTGCATTCTTTTAGATCTATCATGTTACCCTGCTTTTTCAGACTTCATGTTTCCTTATGTGGATATTTGAATGTCTGGTAGATCAGTTGTCTCCACTACTGAGTGGATCTAGTATTGGAAGAATTTCTTTTGACTCAGTCTGATTAGTAGGGTGTATTGTTTTGGATCAAGTTGGCCATTGAAGTTACGGTCTCCAAATAACTTCAACTGTAATCAGTGGCTGTGAGAGCAGTTCACGAGGAGGATCATAAAGACTGTTGCTCTCTTCAGGGGTGTCAGGTGGGGCTATTCTATCATCCTAGGAGGGTATGGTACAGAGAGAAGTAGGGTAGAGTGCTTACCTAGTGGGCTTGGGCAAGCGTAATGCAGCATACATGTAAAATATGAGGACTGTGTTTCAATTCTGTGGGCCATATTCCAAATGAAGCTAGGTCATAGGGTCCTTAGGCATGTGTCGTATGGTTTCCATGGCAGAAGTGTCAGGAATCCCGTGTACCACGAATTGCATCTGTTCAGTCTCCTGCGGTAAAGTAGTGGTAGAGCCACTCTAACATCCTGAGCAGAAGTTGCACAAGAAGTCCCATAGGGGAGAGGGGAAGGTAGGTGCTGTGCAGCAGCAGCCCAGGTAGGAGAGAATGTGCTTCATGACCTGAGTTCCTCATCTGTCTAGAGCAGCATAATAACATGCCCTCCCTGAAGATTCAGGGAGGCTGCAGGTTTACCCAGTTCCCAAAATTTAGGGTGCCAGTATGGGCTGTTGGAGGTCTCCTATGTATTTTTCATTGTGGAGAACTTTCTGAGTGTCAATCTGGTCTTGACTTGGGTCAGTTAATAGAAGGCTTTGTTCTGTCTTTACCATCTGCAGCCCTCATGTCCCACAATACCTTGGTTTCAAACACTCTGCGTTCTAGCTGTCTCCTGCAAACACTGGATACTGACAGTTCTTCCCCCTTTCATCCTTTCCTTTCTTTTCAGTCACTTCTGTTGCCACTAACAAGCCATCTTGCCATAGACTTTCTTCTATTATCAACAGTGGACAGCTTTTGTGACATGTAGATGCTCACTCCTTAATCCTGTGTTTACTTTGTATGTTCTAGCCACATCAACATGTATCTGCTCCAGATACTAGCTTTGGAATTCTCCTATGGGATACATTTATTTATGAAACATTTTTTTCATTTGTGTTGATGCTCAGGAAATCTCTCTGAAGATCTGTACAACCTCTGAACTGGCTGCAGAAGGAACATTCCTATGGCCCCCTCTGTCTTCTGTGTAACCTCACTTTCCCCCACAATTATTATCATTTATTTCTTTGGTTGAATTTAGTATTTATTGACTTGTCTCCACTTCCTACTGTCTGTTTTTAAAAAATGCTTCATGGGAGTATCATGAGAGACAAGAAGGTAGCACAACTATATGGTTCTCCACCTGTCTGAGCTAAGTAACAAATGCAGCTACTAATATTAACAGGCTCTGAAAGAGATTATGGCATGGATTATGGCTCTAGATTGGCAGTTATTATTGATAACAATCCCCTTTTATGCTTGGGAGATATGTTGCAGGACACCTTTTCAGTGGATTCTGGACGTAGCAATAGGGCCAAACAGTGTATATCCTATTTTCTTCTATACATATATACCGATTGTAATGTTTTATTCATAAATCAGGAACAGTAAGACATTAGCAACAATAATAATCACCACAAAACACTCATAATAATGCATTATAATAGGGTACAGCCACTCTCAAAAATACATTTTTTATTTGTACTTTTATTTATCAACTAAAGAAGCATTTTATGGTTTCTCTTCAGAAAATTTAAATTTCTAGAATCATTATTATTGTGTTTTGGTATATACACAACACTAAACTCTAGTGGTTGGTTAAGACTGTGGGTTAGAGACCAGCTGGGGAGCATGTAGAAAATATGGACTCATAAAGATTTTGGATACCCTGAGCAGGTGGTCAAGTTCACATCCTTGGGTGGGGCATGGAGCAGTATTGCAAGAGCTTTCATCATGTTGTTTATAATAACATATTGCTTTAAACCTTTACATTATATATTATAGAATTTGTAATTTGGACCATTCTTGACCATTTGAAACCAGAGAAAGCAAAACAATGGGTAAAGGGAGTGTGGCTGTACCAGTGCCTTTCAGTGATTTGTACTTCATGCAGTTACAGTGAACATACTATGGTAACTGAGATCTGAACAGTGCTGGTATAAGACATGTTTAATAAAACCACGGTAATTGAAATTTTGTGTATACAGAAACTATAGGAAGTACTCTCTCTGTCTCTCTATACACATGAACTTGTAAAGCTGACCATCAGGAAGGAGTTTTAGCAACAGTGATTAAAACATGGCTTAGCATTTTACTGACTATATGTATCCTACCACATGTTGCAAACTGCTAATGTATACAAAAGTTTTGCTGAAATACAGTTTATATATTTTAGTTCATTGTGCAGGGACATCATTTTAGGCAAAAGGAAATATTTATGAACAATGTTGTGATTTTATGTAATCATTTAAAAATGACACAAAAATATGAAATGAATTTTTGTCTTCCAGTTTTATGTATGGAGAACTGACCGACAAGAAGACCATTGAGAAAGTCAGGCAGACTTTTGACAACTACGAGTCAAACTGTTTTGAAGTTCTTCTGTACAAAAAAAACCGTAGGTATTTCTGTTATCAACAGGATGATCTAAGTACTTCAGGAAATGGTAGCTAAGCAGTAAGGTAGAGAAGACACAATGTGCTATTACTGCTCTTGGTGTAGGGGGAGAGGCTACTGGTGAAATTAGATAGAAAAATTCGTAAATAGTTTTGCCTATGGAAAAATCCTCTCAAAGAAAAGAAGCAAAATGGCATATGTTATTTTACTTTAAAAATATATTATGTGTCTGAGTGTTTTCCTTCATGTATGCATGTGTACAATGCATGTGCTTGGTGCCAGCCAAGGTCAGAAGAAGATGTCAGATCTCCCAGGAATGACGTTGCATAGGTTTGTGAGCTGCCATGTGGGTGGTTGGAACTGAACTCAGATCCTCTGTAAGAGCAATAGGAACTCTTAACCACTGAGCCATGTCTTCAGCCTCACATTTTTATTTTCAACATCTTGGTTGTGCGTACTTATTGGGTAAAAAGTGACACTATGATTTAAAAATTCAATATGAATACTCTAATCAAACAAATAATATTTTAGATAATTACTTTTTGTGGTGGGAATATTGGAGATTGCTCTCTTTGCAACTTTGGTGTCTGCAGTATACTGTTATTATTAACTGTATTCACCACGCTGTGCAATACATCTAATAATTAGACAGAAAAACTTTTCTCATGTGTCATAGTCTTTGTATCCCTAGATCATCTTCTCTTCATTCCTACCCAACAGTACAGCTGAGAACCTCTGTTGTCTGATATGTGTTTAATCTAAAGTTCCACTTAAAATGAATATGTCTTGTATTGGTCTTCTGTGTCTGGCTTATTTTTACTTAGTATTTAGTATTATGATCTTTTATTCCCTCCATATTGTTACAAATAACAAACTCCCTGCCCCCTCTTTCTGTATGTGTGTATTATATATGCATGGGTGTACATGTGTTCATTTAAAAATTTAAAATAAAGCCACCATATGATGTAGCAGTCATATGGAGGCCAAGGGGGACATTAGGTGTCTTCTGTAATCTTCTGCAGTATCTCACTTGAGCTTCCCATTTTTCAGATAGACTAGCTAGTCCACAAACCCTATTATTCATCTGTCTCTGCCCCCTTCCTTCTCCCTTGTTTCTCCCAAAGCTGGGGTTATAAGCACACACAGTCATGCTTTGTTTTTTATGTGGGTTCTCGGATCCAAACACAGGCCCTCATGCTTACTCAGCAAGCATTCCTACCCACTGAGTCATCTCTGCAGCCCAAGAAATTCTTTTAAATGCTGAGCACTATTCTCCTCTGTATACACATTTCATTTTTATCAGTTCATCTGTTAATGGACACATAGGTCAATTATAAGACTGGCTATTGTGGATGGTAGTGAAATGAACACGAGAATGTAGATATGCCTTTGTTTCTCAGATTTCAAGTCTTTTGGGTAAATATCCAGAAAATGGGACTGATGCAATATATGATTATTCTGTTTTAAAATTTTTAAATTAGTCTCTGAGTAGGTTTTCTGTAGTGGTCTGGGCTAATGTGTGTTTACAATTACAGTATTACAGGATTTGCTTTTTATGATTTCTACATAGTTGTCAGTGAGGTGGTATGTGGTTATTTCATGTCAGTATTTACAAACGGAACTTTAAGCTAGGTGTTGATGTTGGCTGTGGAAGAGTGGTGGGCATAGACATCTCCCTCAGAGCAGGCCAGTCACATATGTCAAGTGTCTGCTAATTCTTATGAATACTCTCTAGGATTAGAATTGGATGTAGTCAATTGTCAAATATGCCATCACATAGGACCTTATGGACAGCCCTGTTTGGGAGGTTAAAACGACAATTAATTAAGCAGCCAACTGTGACCACTACCACCAAGCCTCAGTGCTTATCTTCAACCATCAAGTCTTCTATTTAACTTGGTTTTATTGCATGGTCACGTGAACTTTGTTTCTTTTTTCTGCTTTCTCAACTTTTTTTCTTCTTCATATGAAGAGTCCCCTCATAATCCTTAACCAAGAAGTCATCTCCAAATGATGTCTGCATATAAAGGCAAAGCTAGTTTCTACGGTGGAGTCTCTCAGGGTACATTAACCACACTTAAGGGCAGTAGATGGCTAACACAAAATGAACTCAATAGTATGAACTCAAAATGAACTCAACTTTTTGTCTCATATTGCATTTTGGGCATTTTTTGTCTTACTTGTCTTTTGCTTGTATATTATCATTTCTGACTTTGTGTTTTATGGGTTTATTTGTGTGTATGTGTGTGTTTCTTGTGCTTTTTCTTTTAAAAAATTCTGGCTTGGGTGTTCTTATTTGTTTGTTTGCTTGCCTATTTGTTCCTGGAGATAGATAGATGGAGAGAGAGAGAGAGAGAGAGAGAGAGAGAGAGAGAGAGAGAGAGAGAGAGAGAGAGAGAGAGAGAATGAAGACATAGAGTTGGGTGGGTATGGAGGTTGGAGAATCTGGGAGGAGTTGGGAGAGAGGAGACTGAGCTCAGAATATAATGTAAGTGTAAGAAAGATTTGTTTTCAATAAAAATGTGTATTGAAAATGTGTGTGTGCTTTCATGATAAATGATGACAAAATCCATCCTCATCTTCGGTGGTTACTGCAGTCTCCTTAAGTGTGACAGACATCCTAGTGCCATCAGAACACATTTTTTTCTAGGTTTAGTATATGTTGGATCTCGTGGTGCACAATTTTTCCTAATATTTCCTTCAATTTCTTATTCTTTATGGAATATGTGGAATTAAAATTAGATTTTATTTTTTAGCATTAGACCCACAAAAGGAAAACAGCAGCCATTGACATTGCCTCAGTTGCCTCAGAGTAGTATATTTAGTGACGGGAACATTATCTTTTGTGGTTTTACCTATCACATCTTGAATCATTCTCTCTTGCAAGTTAGAATCAAGGCTGGAGAGATGTTTCTGTTTGGAGTCTCATATTCAGCTGCTTGTCACAAAGAAAACAATCAGCTTTGAAGGTTGCTCTTGCTGGGCTTCTACTCCACGGGCCCAGAGTTCAGTTATTGTTCATAGGATGCCGAAATGTTCAAACCCCTTCCTTTTCACTGAGATTTGTCAGTCTTTGAATGACTTAGATATATGGCCCAAGTTTAGCACATTATTGAAGAATACTTACCATTAAGACTATTTACCTTGGCTCACAAGCAGAATTAACAAATATTTGCTGAATTTTCAGACATTGTAGCCAAGTCCACAGTTTTGAGTTTGTCAGTAGTATCTTAGTGGGATTCTGTTTTGTTTATTTGCTTTAAAACATATTGGTAATAGCTTGAAATTTGCATTCGTATAACTCTCCTTAGATGTTTTACATTGTGCTCATGGCTTGAAATTTTATTTGTTTTTTGTTCAGTCTTGCCTGGCTCTCTAAGGGAAACTATATATTGATATGTAAGTGTCTGCATACAGCTGTTAAGAGACATGTCTGGCAGTCCTGTAGATTAAAGCTCCTGTTTCTCCTCTGTGTGTTCTCTGTATTCGTTGTTATTTTTGATTTTCCTTTAATAGAAAGAATAGGTATTATCCAGACATTAGGGTAGCATACAAGTATTTTAGCCAGCTTTAAAGGAATTTTGTGAGTGGTCCTCTGAAAACAGCTTTTGCATATCAAACTGGAAAGCATGTATCTTGTGGCTTTGAAAAATGTTAGACAAGAAAATAAATGTATCTGTAGAAGTTTGTTTGGGGAATGCCTGAATTCCAAGCCCTTCAAGACTTTAATCACGTGATTAGGCTGGGTTATACATCATTTTGCAAATGGGACAGTTGAGGTTTCTGATTTATTGGTCAGGGTTTGACACTTAAGTTTGCATCCTCTCTCTTATTTCATCCTACCTAGTGTCCTCAGTAAAGGAGACATTTTCGACTTGGGAAAGTTTAGTATCTCTGGAGCAAGGACAGAAGTTAGCACCATGTTCCTAGTGACCTCTGTCTCTGCCCTGCTCTGTGTGTTGGGTTTACACCTCTGTCCATCCTTCTCAGACTCCCTGTCCATCTGACCCTTAATGCTAGTTTATAAAGGAATAAATATTGAAAATATTCAGCCCATGCTGGGGAAGTCTGAGCCTATGAGCTGGAAAAATTTTACCTTGGTATTGGGAAACAGCTTTTCAGACCACCCTGTCTCTGCTAGAATTTGGAAATGGCCGTTTCCATGGGTGTGGCACCAGCTCTTTTTGTCCAGATTTCTAGCAGGCTCTGGACAAAGAAAAGGATTTCCAGTGCCCCTTTCTCTTTGTTTATGGCACCTCTGCCTCTAGCTCACTGTATTGGAACAGCCTCAGGCCATGAACACAGCAGTGCCTGGCCATGATTATTTGTAAAACTGCACATCACTCACAGCCCCGACACACAGTGTAAAACAAGGAGCAAGCCTGGCTGGGAGAAGATGCGATTGTTTTCCAAGTCCTTTTCTCATTCTGCAATCATCTTGGAAAGGGCTGTGTCTTTCTATGGGCCTGCCAGAGCCACAAAAGACCCAGTGGCCGGAGCTGGGCATTATCTTATAAATCTCTTCTTCAGTGCTCTGGCCTCTAGAGCCTGCTAAGAACTCCTGTTGTCTACATGACAAGTTAGCCCTTACATGACGTTGAGAAATGTCCCAAGTGTAGCCGATAATTCAAGAGCACTGTTATTACGTCTAAAAAGAATTGGCAGTGGCCTCTGGTGATGTAGTTTGGGATCCAGGTATGAAGGAGCTTGTTACTTGGCTTTCACTGGGGAACCACTAAGATGCTGTTAGTTCTTACCTCTATGGCTGCATGTCTACTCTCCAAATCCTAAACCTGGCAAACCCCCTCTGTCCCTAAAAATGAATATTTGAAGGGCTTTATTGCACCTTTGTTTGGTAAAAATACGACGGAAAATGTGTTTTTAAAACTTTTTAATTGTGATGTGTGTTGCCCTTTTGTGGATAATTATTCTCTTGAGGGTATTTCTCATGCTTTCGTTTATTCATTCTTTGCAATATGTAAGTGCCTGGTCTATCCAGACCCTGATCTTTCAACCCTCGCCCTCATCCGTCTGGAGAGTGCAGTAGCTCTTCTTTGAAGAAGGAGGTGGCAGAGTTGAGCCTCAAGGGTCAGGAGGCAGTGGCTCTGGAAGACACCTGAGATTCTTCTCAAGCTTCCAACACCTGTGCTATTTTTCTTTTCCTTTTAAGATTGCCCTAAAGGTTTCAGGCAACACTCCATATACAGTAGGTATCAAGTATTGATGCCTTCTGTGATTGGGGACACAGTCAAAGCCATTGCTGTGTCACATAAGTCCATCTGACTGAAGAGAGAGCCTTCAGAGACAAGCAGCTTTTCAGAGGATTGTCTAGGAGCCGGGCTTGTCAGGGCTGCAGGTGTTGCTCTTGCTGTTAATTGGAAACACTTGTCAAAGTGACAAGACCAGAGAGGCATGTAGGAGTGATTACACTCAGTGGGTTTGTCAAGATGAAGTCTGGGAGAGCAACAGAGGCCTCAGAACTCAAACCTAAAGGTGAGGCATTTCTTTAGCAGCAGGACTGCCTTTGTGTACACAGGTTAGGAAGAGACCCTGTACTTTCCTTTAGAATGCTCATATTTTGAGCAAAAAGTTCACTCATTAAATTTGAACAACCAGTAGCTAATATAGAGTCAAACATTTCTTGTTTTGTTATTTTGTTTTATATTGAGAATGGCATCCAAGGCCTCATGCATACAAGACAAGCATTTCATCATTAAATTACATTCCCAGCCCTTATGAGTTTTTAAATTTTAATTATTTTTGAGACAAGGTCTTACTCAGTTGCCCACCCTGACCTTGATCTTACTCTATAGTCTACTCTACCCTTGAATTTGTGATCCTCCTGCCTCAGCCTCTGAGTAGCTGGGATTATAGGGCTATACCAGAATTCTGGTTAAAATGTTTTTTTAATAAAGATTATTTATTCATTCAAGTAACAAAACTATTGTTTAGATATAGAAGCAGTAGGAGCAAGAGGGTTGGGGCAGGGGAGATGACCCTTGCTCTTGCCCTGTGACACTCCTTTTTATCCCTTTTTCCCCACTACAGGCACCCCTGTTTGGTTTTACATGCAAATTGCACCGATAAGAAACGAGCATGAGAAAGTGGTCTTATTCTTGTGTACGTTCAAGGATATCACGCTGTTCAAGCAGCCAATAGAGGATGACTCAACAAAAGGTAAGTTAAAAAGGAGTTTCTGTACCTGACAAGCTGGTGACCTTTTTTTCTGCCACATAATCGTATGACCCTTCGTTGGCTCTACATGCATCCCTGTGAGGTGCAGGAAGGAATTCTATAGAGCACGGTGAATTTGGGAGCATCTTAATTGTACTCAGTGAGCTATAGCATGAATTATTGCACATAGCCAGGATTGGCTTCACTGAGCTCCTACCAGAGAGCCGTTAATGATTTGATGGAGTTTTGGTCAACTGATTGAGTTCCACTGGCTGATTACTTTCAGCTTACTTACCAGCTTCTGTCTATTCAGTTATATGTTCTCCTGAGGAGAAGTTGTATACTTTTGTCATAAGGATAGTGGCTGGTACAATGCAAGCCTTCCAAGCGGAGTGCTATTGACTGCAGCATCCAGAGATGGGGCTACGGAAAGCTAGAGTGCTCTTACCTCTTTCCGATGTAATTTAGTCCCAATTTATTTTCTTCATTTGAGTTTAAATTAGAAGCTGGTGTTATATAAATGAAGGCTTTAAAATTCATTTAGAGATAAGATTTTATTAAATGTTGTTTTTTAAAGAACCTCTTAGGAGACCAAAAGGAAATGCCTGCCTCTGTGCATTTGGCAAACATTCCCTTCCCTTCCTTCTTAAAAAAAACCAGCACAGTGATTTAAGCTTTCCAATTGCAACTATAATTACAGAAAATGACATTATTTTATCCTCTGCAGGTGAGTCTAAACACATAAATCTCTATCTATTCACTGTTTTGTTAGTATCAAATTAAAAAGAGAAGCTTCATCACGTGACAGCTATTGAAAATAGGACTGAACAAATTAATTTGTATGTGCCTATGAAATTCTAGGCTCCATGAAATCACTTTCTGGAAGGTTGAGTAAAATATCTAATTTAGAGCTCAGGTTCCCCCATTCCCCTCTCTCACCTTACTGGGTGACCCAGGCTGACCTGCAACTCAGTATTTCTCCTTTCTCAGTCTTCCAAATGCTAGAACTACAGGCACTCAGCATCATATCCAGCTAATTCTGTCTTTTAAAAATACAAAAACATATTTTTAATCATCTTTGCACTGAATGCTGATTTATTTCTTTGAAACTTCACGGTGCTTCAGACAAAGGCTAGAAAAGAGACCTTTTTCTCATTTGTACATGGAACACTATATTCTGAGTCATAAAAATTTTTGACCAATTTAAATGAATAATAATACCCCTGAAAACTGAGTCTCAGATAATAGTGGAATTAAATTATAACTCAATAACTTAAAGATGAATGGAAAACTCCAACAAATTTGAAAATTAAACAACACATTTCTAAATAATCCATCAGACAAAAAAATCTAGATACAATTATTTTGAACTCAATGAAAATTTAGCTTTTTCAAATTTGTGGAAGAGAGTTCACATGTGCTTACAGTACAATATGTAATATTGGGTGCATATATTACAAAAGAAAATGATTAAAAACCCCAGTAACCTAGTTTCCATCTTAGGAAGCTTTACAAAGAAGAAAACTTTAGACTGAAGCAAGCTAAAGATGAGACATCATATGGTAGAAATAACTATAAATTAGATATCTTTAAGGAAAAAAAACACCAAAACTCAAGGCTAATTCTTAGAATGAAAATATCTCTATAGTTGATAAATCTCCAGCTTTGATAACCAGGAAACAAAGGCAAGATGTTAATTACCAATGCTGGAAATGAAAGATCTCCCTTCACTCATCCTGTGGCTATTGAAGCCTGGACAATGATCACCCTGTGGCAACCACTGGTGACTTAGAGGAAATAGACCAATCTCGACGTTCACTTGGGAGAAACAGAAAACCTTAATTGTCTCATCACCATTAAATACTTAAGCATTAAGAATAATTGACCCAAACCAAGGAAATAGAAAGTGTGAATAGTCTTTTCTTTCAGCAGACCCCAATAAACGCTGAAGGAAGATATTTCTATTTCTCTTTTTCCTTCTTCAGGATTTCACACATGTATATAATGAAATATGATCATAGCCAGACCTATTCCCCTTTTCTAAGTCTCCTCCCCTTCCCCAAAATGTCCCCCTCCATGCTAATCCCTAAATGGGCCACCTTTATCAACCTCCCAAACCATCAAGGCTCAAAGAACATAACGGAAGAGGAGGCAAAAAGAACCTAAGAGCTGGAGAACAGGGAGGAGGTCTGTGAACTGCCGTCTTCAAGATGTGGCATGTCTGCTGTACACAGGAACTCACAGCACCTATGATTGCCTGCACCATATCTGCACCTTCTTTAAATCTCTTCCAGAATGCAGAAGCAGAGAGAAGTCTCCCAACTCATGTGATGAGGCTAGTACCACTCTGATATCAAACTCTGAAAAGATACTACAGAAAAGGGAACTAATAGATGGGTTTTCACTCTTTACATAAAATATTCCATAAAACTGAATTTATAAAATATAAGAAAAATTATATGTGACAACCTAATGGAGACAGTCTTTGAAAACAATTCCCACGAGCCATCCCATCAATGATGTGGTAAAGAAAAGGCATATGACCCCAGCAGTTGGCATAGAAAGAAGCATTTGAAGAAATTCAACACTCACTCACATTTGTAAATCCCCAGAGGAGTAGGAATAGGGCATGATCTTCCTTTTTCATAACGACATCTATTAAAACCTTTTGACTAACAGTGAACTATATCGTTGTATGGGGTATTTAAGAAAAGGATAAAATAATTGATATGTAACTGGTGACCTAAAATACTCCTCAAACGAATTTTGATGCCTTCACATATGAAGAGCAGAAGTTAGCTTGAGTGAAGAGTTTTTATATCAGATATTTTACCTCCATATATACATATGTTTATATTAGAGGAATATTTCTTATTGATTTACTTCTTATAGTTTTATGAGACAGTTGAAGCTGGCTAAGGAAAGGGCAGTACTGCCCCACCGTTTTGATCTGCTGAATTTTAATGGTAGTTAGTAACTTTGTGTTTATGGAAACTGGGAGATGACAGCATTTTGCCCTGAACTGTGGGACCGTGTGCAGATACTTGAAGAGCTGACTTTTATCTCTGAACTTAACACTTCTCCATTCTTCTGTTTTCACCTCTATCACTTTGAATCCTGTGTAACTATCAGGGTGCTTGTAAGGTGAGGTCTCTTTTGAGTTGAATTGCCTACTTCTATAAATTATTTTAATAATCCCAGACAAGAAAGTCCACTTGACTGTTGAACAGTGAGTTCAATAAGTATGCAAATAAAAAGTCCTCTGAATAGTATTGGTATAAAACATCTCTTTCTGGTACCAGAAATTCTAGAAGATGGGCTAATTTTAAAAGAATTTTGGTTCTGAAACTCTTGTATGTCTTCCCTATACATAACAGATTACTGAAAAAACATTGCATAATACAGCTATGAATGCTGCATATGAACTGCTTTCTATTATTCATGTGAACTGTACATTTAACATGAAAAATTCAAAAGACATGAAATATTTATACCATTAAGTCATCATCCTACTATGACTTTGAAGCTAGTGATATAGAAATGGGAGCATTTTGAGAGGCTTGGTAAAATAGTGTATTTTTCTATTTTTAAAGACAAATAAGAAGAAATGATACTTTTGGATAAATAGTACATGTAATCTCATTATAATATAGTACCAAATTGAATAAGAAGATGATGATGTCACCTTTGATCCAGCATTTGTCCTCAGAATTACTTAATATAAACTTTTCCATGATCTCTATAGGAATCCTAGTGTACTGTTTTTGCCCCAAACAAAAGTTGAACTGACAATATTCCTGGGGATATAGGAGTGGCCTCTTCTCTAGTATTCCAGCGGGGAAGACTAACAAGTTAATAGTAGAAGCTTTGCTCCAAGTGCTCCTATGTTCTTGGTGATCAGCTGAGTGTGAGGATGTTAGGAGACTGAAGGAATATTTAGACAAGGGAGACAAAGGACCACTGGGCAGTACAGAGGTCCTCTGTGGCTCTGAGTCAAGAGTTTCACTAGTATCCACAACCATCATTTTGTTCTCTACTTTTGTCAGTTCAAGGAATGGAGATGAGCAGTGGGTAAAAAGCTGGGTTTACCTGAAGTTCAGTTTTAATTAGGTGCAAGAGAAAGAATCTCATAAAGGACTAGTGATTAGACAAAGGCTTATGTCCTTCAAAGATTTGCAAATTTGTTGCTTTGTATTCATACTTATCTCCCGTTTATACTGGCGTTTCTCCCCACCCCCCAAGAAATTCAGAAATATAGTTGAAAGACTTGAAGGCATGGACTCTGAATTTTGTTTCTGGATCAGTTCAGACAGTAGTCGTGGCAGTTATGATTGCAGTAACTGAGTGAAGCTCTGCTTATAGCACATCCTATGTTCACCGGAATTTTATCCTGAATTATTTTGCTTTTGTTTTTAAACATAAAGGATGACAACAAAAATTACTGAAGGGAAAGTTATGAATGCTAATACCTACCAAGTATTCCATGTTCATTATCACTCATTTCACCAAATTTAAATAATGTTATTATCTCCCCTTACTGCTGAAGGGTCTAACACTCAGGCTGACTTCAAGCCTTGTGTTCTCCAGATTTCCCGTTGCTGTCTTGTCTTCTGCAGTGGGAATTCACTGGCAGGCATAGTGACCATAATTCCCTGTTCCTAAGCAAAGCCCTCATGGGGATGCTATTTTCTTGACAGAGTTGTGCTCTTGGAGCCAACTAAACTTCCTAATGCTAATTCCACAGGATGAAGTAGTCTTGTTATCTTTTGTACCTGGTATTGCAATGTCGAAAGTGTTGTTTAAATAATCAATCAATGGTATCTGTTACTTTATCATAACATGCGAATTGCAGCCCAGAGGTCTATACTGTTGATTATATTATGTATTCTAAAAATCATTATCTAGATCTCTGCCCATTGATACTGTACATGATTTTCAAACAGACTTCCAAACTGCTAAGATAATTACAGTGTGAAACACCCTATGCCAAGTAGTCATGACACCTTTTTGCCAATAATGAGACAAAAAATGTTCTTCCAGAATAAAAATAACATTAAAAAGTAACCTACTTGCAAAAGCCAATGATTTTCTTTTGAGAGGATTTGACGGAAGAAATAGGAGTAATTATGCCAGCAGTCTTGTTGGCTGAGAGCAAAATTGTTTACCTAAGCGTTTTCCTTATAGATTGGAATCTTGTGTTGCAGTCCAATAGATTGATTTAACTGCCTCTGTGACTTCCTTTCATTTTTAAGATTAGGCAGTCCATGACAAAGAGGTTAATTGCAACCCAATAGAGCTAAACTAATGTTTTATTAAGAAGGAGTTGGCAGCCCAAGCTTTTAGGAGAACAAATGTTCTCATAATGCCATGAACAACTTACAGTGCAAGCATTCTGCTCGTCATACGCAACTGTCTGTTCATATTACCCCATATCGATCACGTCTAAGTAACATCAACGAACTGCTGAGCAATCAGTCGCACCAGTTAGGTTTCTGTTGAGGCGAGCTGGGGGAATGCAGTCGCGTGGAGACGTGAGAACTGCTGATGAGTCTTTTTTTTCTCTCTGACCTAGACAATGTGACTATGTGACTTTTTCAAAGTTTTTTCATATTGTGTGAGTGTGTGTTTGTGTGGCTGTTGGGAAGGAACAAATAAACTCAACTAATTAGCAATGGCGGCAATTCCAGAGCACAAAAGGATAGGGATAAGAAAATTCAATGTGGCATGCTTTACAGCAGTGAAAAATCTGGAAACTTCTAGAGCATGAGTCAGTGTAGCATATGCATTGTCAACAAGAAACAAGTCACTCATTCTTAGTGACACTGGGGAGCAGGAAAGAGTGAGGTAACATGGGCAGCAGGCAAGAGTGAAACACCATTGTGGGTTGACAGGAAGATGAGAGGGAAATTTCAGGCTATTGTGTTCATTGAGGGGTTTGTTTCCGGTATGTGGGCAGATGGTGGTAGAAAGGAGGAGATACAGAAGTCTTCAGAAAAGTGCTGACATTAGAGTATGAGAGCCAGGACAGCAAGTGGGTCCCCCTGGCCAGTGAGTTCTGAGAGCAGTGGCTCTTGTGCTTCTATTGATTTGCATATAAAATAGAACACATCTTGACTAAACTTTGCTTCTCCACCTTCCAGGGCATGTTGATAGCAAAATCCTAAATGATGACTCCCTGAAAATTGCCCTTGACTTAGGTTTCTTTAGGAAGAAAGGATCCTTTGCGAATCTTTGCTTGTCGGTCTCTGAGCTTTCCTGGGCTAGAGCTGGCCTATCACCTAGCCCTGCCTTTCTTTCTCAGCTAGTTGTTCCTCTGGTTCTTTCTGGAGATAGGGACACTTATATTCTCCACTCCAGAGTTCTTCCTTAATGCCATTAGTAGTATTGACACCTACTGAAAGCTGATCCCAGCTCCTTAGTCACATCTTAATTTTAATTGTATATAAGGCAGTTGACAGGCTAATCTCTGTGTAGCTTTTGTGCTCATTGCTTCCTTTATCGAACAAAAATGTAACTAGTGTCCTATACAAGTTGTGCTGATTAAATTATAAATAGTTGTGCGCAGACATATTTAAACAAGTGTTTTCTGAGTATTTGAATTAGGAAGCACTGCTCCCTAGTTATGGAATGCAGCATTATTGCTATGTGACAATAGCTTTCATGGTTTTGTTTCTTTTACCTACTTCTTGTTCGCTGTGTGGTGAGATAGATAAGTGAATTCCAGCCTTTGGAAGGTCTGTCTGCACTCTCCCTTGTTCCATTGGACATATTTCTCCCATATTTTGTTCCCAATTTTTTTGTAGACAAATATTACTGTGTACAAGGAGTGAAAATGATTTTTCTCTTTTAACCCTACTCAGATATACAGAAATCTAGTATTGCCTTTCTTAGAAATGTGAGCCTTCAGTAAGAAAAACAGATGAGCTTAGAAGTTTCTAGAAATAGCTGATACAGCTACAATATTCAGTTGATGTAAGAAGAGGCATTACCGGATATATTTTAGCATGTTGATGAGGGGTGACTGAAATGTCACAGTCACCTGAGAGCTCCTTATCATTTACATCCTACCCAGTAAAGCCCACTGTAATAGGACATAGATGGGCTTTAGTCTCAGGTAAAATTTGATTAGCCAGTTTACTTTTGTTAATTTACTTGCAGCCTTTAATGCTACCATGAAGAGATGAACTTTAATAACCCAAAGTAAACCATGATAACACCGATATTGTTTCTGTCACATGTTGTGTGTGCTATGTGTATGGAGGAGGGCAAACCCCCTATAGGTGGATCAAAGAGATTTCCAGAAAGCAGTAATCCTTCACTTGAGTCTGAACTGTCATTAGCCAAACAGATAGGGAGGGGGAGAGAATTGTAGACAAGCAGAATGAGTGTACTATAGAAAAGAACAGGGTATTACCATACCAAAAAAAAGAACTCTAGAAGATTTAATTATATTTTGAATTTGTAAAGTTGGAGAACAGTAAGATGGCTCAAGGCAGATGTAGTGTAAATCCTTGTGGGTAATGGCTAAATGACTTCTCTTCCAAGGACACAGTGTTATCCTGGAAGTCTCGAGGTTGATGTGAAAAATTGAATTGGGAATGTGTGATCTTATTTGTGTTTCAAAACGAATCACACCAGCATGTGGATATAATCTCAGAGCATTTTCCTGACTGCAGTGACAAAAGTGACAAATGCTACATTGTTGGACAAGAATGGAAGGAATTCAGTTTCAAAGATTCATAAATTATAAATTAGAAGGCTTGTGTATGTGTGTGTATATGCATGCTTGTGTGTGTTTGTGAGTGTGTGCATGAGTGTATGTGTGTGTGCATGCATGTGTGTGACAGTGAAAGGACAGTGGGTATAAAATTACTGGTTTGCATGGTAGAAAGGGCACCAGTTAATTTATCAAGAACAGGGATATACGAAGAATTTAGGGTTTGTAACATGGGGAGAACGTAAAATGAGATGAGTTTTAGACCTTTTGGGAGTAGAAGAGGGGGGCCAATGGTGCAGAGAAGTACAGGTCAAGCACACAGAAGAAAAGCCAAGGTTGCTGGCAGCGAATTCAAGTTGATTTTGTGTGCTGATGCTCAATTTCTGGAGAACTGATTATGTCTTTGTTGCCTCATTGTGAGACTGGAGCACCATACAGAATCTTGGGTTGCAGGTAATATCCCCGACCTGATTTTAAATTCCAGACTGGGGTAAAGCCTGTTAGTAAAGGAGAAGAAAGGGACTTTCCATCAATGAATGCCAACTAATTTTCACAGAATCACTGAACACATAGAGAGAGCTGAACTGGTGGGAGTAGTTCTAAGCCTGAATGATTAGTCTGAAGGCCAGTAGTAAAGTCTAACATCATCTGTACTTTGTGATTTGACAGGCATTAGTCTCTTTTAGACCCAGGGCTTGCTCATTCAGTGTTTCTAGAATCATCTGAAATGTTGTCATGTTGCTGGGGCCATTCCTTCTGACCAGTTGGAGGTTTCCCGTTTAAGGAGTTGTTCAGAGACTATCCTGTCAAAGGGTAATGCCATAGACATGATCAAGTATGTTTAGAGAAATCTCTAATAGAGCAGAGCTTTTGAGCTAGGTAGAGAACTTAGAGTTGGGACAGGGCCATGATATGGTTGGTGCTGCACTATTTGCTCACTGGTAGTTCTTTGAAATTGATGATTTTAATAATGGCAACTTGAGGTGCTGGGAGAAATTTTTTCCCATTAAATTCACATTCCTTTCTCCCCAAAGCAACTCTTCTTTGAAAAAACACGATTATGTTTTTATATATTCCAAGCATAACTTCTAGATATCATTGCAGTTGTTAATGAGAGAAATAACATTTGCTATGCTACAAGGAAGGTGCAATGTGTGAATTGGTTGGAATTGGGCTCTTTCTCCTAGGCGTGTACCTCTGTATACAGCACACAGTAGAATTGTTTTCATTAGGGTGGTGGTAGCTGCTCTAACAACCAGTAATAATGTAGTAATGTTGGGTAATTTTTCTATTAATAAGAAAAATTTTGATTTGACACAGCAGAAACACATTTCTTATTCATGCAATAATCCAAAGAAAGTGGCTCAGTCTGGCATTTTTCTACACAGTGATTCAGTGGATTGCCTTCATCTAAGGGCTTGCCATTTGCATCCAACTGATAGGAGTAGGAAGTATGATACCAACTTGCTCCCAAAATGTGCATAGAGATACGGCACCATTGTTTCTGCTTACATTTCATTAGTGAGAACTAGGGACTTAGAACACACAGATGTATGGGATGCTGAGAAAGGAGTTGCTGGCTAGGCAACTGATTCCCTTTAACAAACCCATGCAACTCAAGCAGGGGCAGATAATTTTTTAACCTATTATCTACCATAACTGCAGGGGTTATGTACACTTCAAATATATGATGGTATTTACATAGAAACGAGACTTATACTTTTCAGTTTTTCTAGATATTGTGTGGTTGCTGTTATCCTCAAACTATCTGAGACTGCTGGACTTTCAATTCATGGTATATGAATAACCAAAACCCTCTGTTCATTTTTTTTAAGGTTGGACAAAATTTGCTCGATTGACACGGGCTTTGACAAATAGCCGAAGTGTTTTACAGCAGCTTACACCAATGAACAAAACAGAGACAGTTCACAAACATTCACGATTAGCTGAAGTAAGTATGAGAATGACTGCTTTTCAATGTAGTTGCATCGATACGTTTCCCCCCAAATTATTCAGTGGTAATTTATGTTTTCTTTGTAGAACTGTAGAAATTAGAAATATTCCTTTTTATTCTCTCTAATTTTTGCATGGAAATGTAGTTCATGTTATATTGGGTGATGTTTAGAGACTGTGTGGTTCAATTGAATGAATGGGACAGAGAATTCATTCATTTGTGTGTGTGTGTGTGTGTGTAACATTAGTTGAGGGTTTCCATTGTATCTGGATTTCTGTGATGTATGTATAGATGAATAAGAAATGGGCTGTCACTAAAGAGTGAAAGACACAACACAGGAAATGAATAAAGGATTTAAGATTTGGTAGCATTTACCCAGACTTGGGGCTCTAGGGTTATGTACATGTGTGAGGTGGTACTTAGTGGAGTGACTTCAGGAAAAGTAGAAGAGTCAGCACCAGGGAGATGGCACAGGAGGTAAAGGTGGCTGTTGCTGAGTCAGACATCCTGAGCTCTGTTTCTGGAGCCCACATGGTGGAAGCAGAGAACTGACTTCTGAAATTTTCCTTTGACCTCCACATTTGTGCCAAAAAGCTTACACACACACACACACACACACACACACACACACACACACGCATGTGTGCACACACACACAGAGACAGAGACAGACAGACAGACACACACACACAGAGAGAGAGAGAGAGAGAGAGAGAGAGAGAGAGAGAGAGAGAGAGAGAGAGAGACTGAGGTACCATAGTTATGCTGAGCCTATAGTGGGAATTTATAAAATATTCTGAGTTAACTTAGTGAGAAAGAGAATGACACCATTAAACCCAGATGTTCATTGATTTACACTGCCAGAAAAAAGTAAGTTGGGTACTTTTTTGTTTTTTTTTTGAGACAGGGTTTCTCTGTATTGTTTTGGAGGCTGTCCTGGAACTCGCTCTGTAGACCAGGCTGGCCTCGAACTCACAGAGATCCTCCTGCTTCTGTCTCCCGAGTGCTGGGATTAAAGGTGTGCGCCACCAACGCCCAGCTGGGGCACTTCTTAATTAGTTACAAATACTGATTTTGGTTTAGAGAGGGTTGGGAAATAAAGTCTATTCTTCAAATTTAAAGTTCTGGGTTTTTCCTTAGCTCATAAATAACAGAAAGACCTGCAACAGTTTTTTTTTAAGCTGTTAATATCATGGGGGAAGCAGAACACTCTGTGGAATACCCATGCTTAAACTAAAACAGGACATAGATGTGTTATTAAGTGATGTCTTTACATTGCGGGCAGAGGTGAACTGCAGCTGGTTCGGGAGTTAGAGCCACCAGGTGGACCTGCCATTCCTGAGAGTTCTCCTTAAGAATTCCTGCTTGCTTTGCACTCTCCTTCTCTTCTGCTTCAAGTGTCCAATTCTTTGCCAAGGCCATCCCAAGGGCCCAGCTTATGTCTGTAGGCTATGGTTTCCTAAGTCTGCCCCTTTCTGGCCCATCTCCACTTTATTCTCAGATTTTCTTTCCCCTGCTAGAGGGAAGGGGCCTGGAGGAGGGTTGTCTCCCTCTAGACCCAGAACCACACAGCAATTTTTTTAAAACGTGAGCTTTTACCGTTCATCCCATTCCTGCACCTTTATTTCAGAGGAATTTTCACTCTTGCATCTTCTCATTTACTTTACCTTTTCCTCTTTTGTTTTTGACATTATTGCTATTAATCAGTCAGTAAATTGGGATTCATAAAACAGAGTCCAACATAAAACTGCTTCCAGCCAGGTCTGAGGCTTGCTGTTTTAGAGAAAGCCGAAGTGGCCAGCTCTTCAACTGAAGTTTCTTCGTGGTCATATGGAGTGTTCCCTGGATTTCCCAAAACAGATCCCAAAGAAACACGGAACAGGCACAAGAATGTCGTCTTGTCCATTATACTGTACTCCAATACTAAGATAATTTGCTCAAGACCATTTCTTTTACTTTTTCAAAGACACACAAATTTGATGTCTGTTCCACCTGATCTTCTCACTTTGGAATGGATCCTAGTTTCAAAGATTGTACCCACAACCCAAAAGCAGCTAATGAACTGTTTACATGCACTGACAAACTACATTGCATTCAGTTTATGTGGGCTGGAGATAAATACTTGCCCTTACCCATCAGTGGGCCAGACTGGGTTAGAGCCAGTAGCTCTTAGATCTTCAGATCGAAAAAGTGTGGCTATTGGTTCAAAAGCAAATTCATAAAATGCAATTTTATTCTCACGCAACTCTAAGTGAAACAACACTGGGAAACAAAGCTGTCTCTCTCTACCTCATAGACGAGTGCAATGCAGAGCTCAGGTAGAAGACCTGGCTGCCTATGACAAAGATGGAAATCCCAACAATTGTGCATCTGTCTTAACTAGGGCTTTCGTTGTTGTGAAGGGATACCATGACCATGGCACCTTTTACATAGAAAACACTTAGCTGATGCTTGCAGTTTCAGAGGTTCAGTCCATTATCACCATTATGGAAGCATGACAGTGAGCAGGCAGATGAGTTGCTGGCTACATCTTGACCAGAAGGCAGCAGGGAGTCAACTGTCTGAAGCTTGAGAAAAGAGGTCTCAAAGTCCACACCCACAGTGACACATCTCCTCCAACAAGACCACACCTACTCCAACAAGGCTACTCCACTGGGGGGCATTTTCTTTCAAATCTTTCAGCATCATTTTCTGTGGTCTTGCCTTTCCCCTGACTTGTCTTCTGTCCCTCCTCTCTCTATTTCTTTTCCCCTCCTCCTCCTCTGCTTGCCTCTCCTCCTCCAGAATTCCTGGAGCATTTCTCATTTGCTAATCCTATCCAACTAGTTAGGTAGTAGATGAGAAAAGAAGAAAAAATGGGATTGTGAGTTATACACTGTCATCACCAGGTAAAGGTAAAAATACTTTTCAGAAAACCCACACAAAGCCAATATCATCATCTTTGAGGGGTAGGGGGTCTAGGTATGAAGATGCCACACTTTAGAAACCCTCCTCAGAAGATTCTAATGGAAACCAGATTTTAAACACATGGAATTGTTCCTTGAGCTCAACCTTTAGAAGTCATAGATAGAGTTGGCAAAGAGAAGCATTTCCTAACCCACCCGCTTTCCCAGTGTAGTTAGAGCTGATGGTGGTTGGAAGGTAAGAGAAAAGCCATAATTATGTGTAGTTATTTACGTCTAACACTCCTCCCCAACATGGGGCTTACATTCCTGCTAGGATAAATTGCTACCAAGTAATTTAAGACCATAGGGGTAAAATATATCTGGGGCACTGAGAATGTAGGTAAATACGGGAAATATCCTTAAAATAGTTCTAATAGCCTTAAGTAAAAAGTTGTAAGTGTAATCTACAACTGAAGAAAATACTGAAGAAAATACTAGCAGCATTTTTGATATTGAAAATAGCAAAGTATTATATACTTAGTTTTAGTTATAGTTATGTAAGCTCAATGTCTGAGAAATTTTAGGATACTATCCCAAGCTTCTAAGGAGTGTGTGCATGTGTGTGTATGTGTATGCGTGTGTGTGTGCATGCGTGTGTGTGTGTGTGTGTGTGTGTATGTGAGCGCACGCAAGTGCTATGGAAGATAAGTCATAGAGCTATATGCTAATATTTAACTTTGTTTATTCATGTATTCAAATATTTGATGCATTTATCACTTAGACTCTTCCCTGCATGGTTCTGATTTTTTTCTAGAAGTACTGAATAACTGATTGCATGCGTTCTGAAAGTCTACTGGAAATGTTACTTAAGAAAGCCCCATTGCCACACTTCTTGACACTTCTCTTACTCTAGTGAAATCAAAGTATGAGGCAGAAGTTGTTTTTAATCTTTTAAAAATTAAATTAGATACAAGCTTGCTCCTTCTCCTCTCCCCCGCCCCCCATCAACCTCCCCAATCTCCCACCGAATTCCCACTCCTCTCCCCAGGGAGGTTAAGCCCTTCATGGAGGATCTCCAGAGTCTGTCATTTCATCCAGGGCAGGGCCTAGGCCCTCCCCCATGTGTCCAGACTGAGAGAGCATCTCTTGATGTGGTATGGATTCCCAAATTCCATTTGTGTGCCAGGGATAAATACGAATCTAGTACCCAAGGCCCCATAGATTGCCGAGGCCGCCTCACTGACACCCAAATTTAGGGGGTCTGGATCATTCCCATGTTGGCCTCTCAGCCATCAGTTTGGGGTCCAAGAGCTCTCCCTTGTTCAGGTCAGGTGTTTCTGTGGGTTTCCCCAGTCCCAAAAGGGGTCAAGACCGAGTTTTATACGGGATCCTTTAACTAGTTTCTCATTTCTCAGATTCCAACAAGCAGTCTAAGTCCTGTGTTGTGGTTGTCACCTTTGGCTCGTGCTGGGTCATCTGCTTTTCTCCTTCTCTTACTTTAGCCCTAACAGAGTAAGTTATGGTTCATATAAACTTGCACTGATCATTTAGTGTCTTATATTGGTTGCTGAAGGAAGCTTGCACCCAACAAGAAACACATGTTCTCTTAAAGTTCTGGTCTTAGAAAAAGGAAAAGCAACCTGTACCATCCCAATACTGACCTGTTGGCTATAAGGGTACCTGCTGAGCGAGTACAGAACAGCAAGACTGCCAACAGTGAGGCTCTGGGGTTCAGGGAGGCCATCAAAAGCAAAAGTATGTTTTCAAAGGTGCCAAATATGTGTGTAACAGATGGTAGCCAGTCACCCAAATTACTGTGGGACAGTCAGTGAAAGACAAGTGGTTCTTGTCATGCTTGCCCAATACATGGGCAGGAGCACCTGAGACACTGTGCTGTGGGTCAAGGTTGGCCACTGGAGAGCCAAGCAGATGGACAAGTAATCAGATCAACTTGTGGAGGAGTTGGGCTAGAATAGGGTTATTTTAAGGGACAGGAAACAATAGAGTATGATTGACTTAAAACTGAGAATTGTAAGACTCAAGCTGTGCTTTGATTCATCCCTTCAAGTGTGCAGTCTTATCTGACTTCAGAAATGTCCCCATCATTTATACACCCTTTTTCTTCCTTACAGGTTCTTCAGCTGGGGTCAGACATCCTTCCTCAGTACAAGCAAGAAGCGCCAAAGACGCCACCACACATCATTTTACACTACTGTGCTTTTAAAACTACTTGGGATTGGGTGATTTTAATTCTTACCTTCTACACCGCCATCATGGTTCCTTACAATGTTTCCTTCAAAACAAAGCAGAACAATATAGCCTGGCTGGTGCTGGACAGTGTGGTGGACGTTATTTTTCTGGTTGACATTGTTTTAAATTTTCACACGACTTTTGTGGGGCCGGGTGGAGAGGTCATTTCTGACCCAAAGCTCATAAGGATGAACTATCTGAAAACATGGTTTGTGATTGATCTGCTGTCCTGTTTACCTTATGACATCATCAATGCCTTTGAGAATGTGGATGAGGTAAGCTTTTCCGTTTTGTTTTTGAAGTGTTGGAGATCAAATGTTTTGAAAACAGTGGGGTAAAAGAGTTTTCACAGATGATAAAATATCTTCAGGGTTCCCATTTTCCCCACCACCCTGATATTATTAAGCATGTGCCATAGAGTTTAGCTGACTTTCTTAAATTAACTGTGGTTTAAATTAACTGTGTCTGTGGTTTCCTCATGTTTTCTGGCTGAAAAGGTGAATTACTAGAAAAATGGCTATGGTTGAAAGTTGTGATTGGAGGAAAACAGGAGGAGGAGCAGGAGGAGAAAGAGGAGGAGGGTCAGCAGGATGAGGAAGACAAAAATGGCAGTGGCATTTGGAGTCAAATATAGTTCACAAACCAGATGATGGGTTTAGGGAACAAAGATATATTTTCTTTGAAAGACCACATCTTTGGAAACTTCATGTTTCCAAAGTTGAGTGACTTCTTCACTCAAGGCACACCATGGTTGGAGTCTTAAGAGTTAACATAAAAACCAATATGTTTTTATGAAGAAGCAGTTTTTGAATTGCTGTCATTTTGATTTCTGCTTTTTGTTTTAAATTCCTTATGAATGCAGTTGTAGGTAGAAAGTGTGTTTGATGAGTTCTGATGTTTGACCTCTCTCAAGGTTATGTTCTATAGTGTTTGTGAGAATAGGAATAATTAAACCATGTCATATCTTAAAGGGTCGCTCCATTCATAGTTTCTTCTCTCTGATGTAAGGGTGGATGACTTACAAATTACTACAGCAAGCTGGTGGGATGCAATCAGTAATAAAACATAAGTCAGGCAGCATAAAATATTTATCACGTTTTTAAAAAATTATAAAGTTACCATATTGCTTTCCCTAAAGATCCTACAGTGTCCTTGTTAGATGACTCATTGTAAAGTCTGCCTCTGTACAGTCTGCACTGCGGTTGTTGTTTCATGTATTGTGGGAGTAGACTAAATCTTTTCTTTATTGACTTTTCCATAAATTTTCTGTTTCAATCAGCTACATTGATATTTAAACCTATTTTCCCCAAATTAAATGTTGACTTTTTATTTTGATACTGTACACGTACTATTATTTTATGGAAACACTGATGAGTGATATCAATTTTCTAATTTTAGATTCTGCATGCATCAAGCTGTTAAAAGTGCATTTATTTCTTTCAAAATTGTTTTCCGAACTGAATTAAGAGGTGTTAACACTGAAAATGTCAATCATAGGAGGAAAGACAATAAGCATTATTCCATTTTCCACATGGAGTATTACATGAGCATATTATGACTTAAGCTATTTAGAACATAGGCATAAGTATTCTAATAAAACAATCAGTCATATGTGAATTTGAATGAAGTTGATCATGCAGAAGTAGAGAGTAAAATGATGGGATATCGCTCTGGGGTGTTTGGGAAGATGCTGAACTAAGACTACAAAATTTCAGTCAGTCAGAATGGTTGCACTCAAGACACATACAATGATACAGTTAAAAATATACTATATTCCTAAAAACTGCTGGCAGACTGAGTCAATACAAGAGAATGGAGGACTACTAATCAAATTTGCATTACCCTAACAAGATACATGGACAGATTGGTTATAAAGGCATGGGTTTATTTTGTTCATAGTTTTGGAAGTACAAGAGCAAGATTCAGCAGCCCCATTTCTTTGTGACTCTGACAAGAATTGGTGGGAGTGTGTAGGGGTGCATGCGTCCATGCCTTATACCAGAATATATATATGCATATATATATATGGTGTAGGCAGGCCCTACAATCCAATTTAAGGCACACTACCAGTTACTTAAGAGCTTTCCCTTAGTCCCTATCTCCTAAATGCCTGCAGTACCACCCGGGGGAAGAAACCCCTAAATATGGGCCTCTGGGGGAGGTCAACATTGAAACCACAGCAGGAGAAGTGTTCTTACCATAAAATCGATGATGGATTAAAGTCAAAACATATATTAATTAGCTGCATTTAGTTATTCCATGATGTCTACATAAGTCAGAGCAACTTGTACATCTTAAGTGTGTATGTTTTTGCCAGTTGGTAAAGAAGACGAAAGTGTGACTCAATCCATAGAAAAGAGTCCAAGTAAAGCCATTCCACAATAGTGAAATGTATCTATGATTACAAGTTTAATTGTGTCATAATATACCAACATAGAACTAATTTAAAGGACACTTGACCTCATTCACCCTAAATACAGTGCAGTGTAGCCTTCTTTGAGATTCCATTTTCAGTTATAACCTTGAAAGATCAGAGCTGTATTACAAACAGTAGGTTGGTGGGTATGGTGGCCGAGGAGGTCTGCTGCTCATACCTTCCTTCACTGCACAGAGTGTGAACAGCAGGGTCCTGGGCCAATCTCTGGCTTGGAAAGTCAGTTACTTACTTCAAACTCAGAAGTCCGAGTCTCTGGAAGCTGGCCACAGTGGGAGTACGTACACTGCAGAGAGCAACAAGAGTGGGTGCTCAAGCTGCTTCCCCTTCAATCTGTGTGCATCCAGTAGTTAGAAGAAGACAACACCACACTAAACACAGTTGCCTGAGAGTGGCTGGCTTTTGAGTCTTTTGCAGTGTCACCCTGAAGCCTCATTCTCCCTAAGCTGCTCCCAGCCTATGACTAAGTATGGAGGGAGGCCCATCATTAAAAAGGATTGTGGGATGATGTTTGCTTTATTGTTGTTGATTGTTTACTTTTGAGATTATATTTTAACCACGATTTCTCTGTCGCTGTAAAATAAACTGCACGCTTGATGAGGGTGTAGGTAACGATTTATTGTGTAAGGTATTTACAAGAGAAACTGGCAACTCAGGTGAGTCAGCAGCTTTCCCATCCTGGACCAGAAGCCCGAAAGAGAGCGTGCATCTCTCCTGCACAGTCTTCTATTACTTTTATTACTTATCTGTAGGCACCTCTAGCCATGCCCAAAGTCGTCTAAAATCTCGCCCTACATTTCTCCTTTCCCTTTCCTCCCTCCAAACCCTCCCATGTAACCGTTTTGTTCTTTAGGCTCACTGCCTGTTTCTTCCATCAGTTGTTATTACATGCTCCCTCTTTCTGCACTTCATTCCGAACTCTCCTTTGCCAAATCTTCTGTTGACTCATTTACTGGTGCCAGATCTGTGTTGTGTTTTGAGGTTTTCCCCCTACTTCTATCCTTTATGTTTTCTCTCCCCCAGACATTTATCTTAGTCACATTCTTGCACAGACTACTTTGGTTTGGCACCTGCTCCTTCCAGGACCTGAAAGACAAAGCAGTGTGGGAATGAGTTAATGTCCCACATCGCTCAAGGGAGTATCAGTAGTGATAGCCTCTGTGAAGAACAGTCAGCAGTGCCTTATTGAAGAAAGAACAAACTCTAGAGGAAATGACTTAATTTGTTTAGGAGATTCATTTATTCATTATACGTTGTTTCCAAACCATTGAGGAACATAGTTATGTATCTTCCCTCTGTAGTTTCAGCTTTAGGCTTCATCTTTGGCTTCTCATCCTGAAATCTGATCTTTCAGACTCCTTTCATACATGCTCCATTGAGATCAACTTATTCTCATACAGATAGGTCATCCATTTGGTTCAATAAATTCTGAGTGTTTGTAAGCAATGAACTCTTTGTAGCTGAAGTGTCCAGCAGCACCCTGTGGTTATCTTTCCTTCTCTGCTCTTTCTGGTTTTCCCAACAGTGGCTCATTTCAATATACTTATACTTATCAGAAGTTCAAGCATCAAGTTATCCATTCATACTCCTTGTTTAAATGTCCCATTACTGTACCAGTGCAAGAGGTATTCACTCACCATCATGGGTTTAAACAAATGTCTCTTGAATTTCTTGCGCCATCAAGAGTTTGGCTAGCTGCAGTATTCTTGGCTTGAGGTAACTCTGCTGCATTCTACCTTTCAGAGATTCCATTTAAGAAACTTGAAACCACTGCAGTTTCTAATCCTTTATAAGTGACCTTGTTTCTCTCTGTAGAGATTTCATGTATCTCCTGTGTCTTCCAAGGAAACTGCCTGATGGCATGCATTTGCTTAGGCCCTTTCATACATTTTCATAAGAAATTGTCAGAGTGGCCTTCCCAATCTCAGAAAGCATGTTTTATAATTTCATTTTTTATGAGAAACCTTCATCCTGGTTTTCTTAATTTTCTCCCTGCTGAAACACTTTTTGTTTAAATATGCTGAACAAGCCCTGTAATTTTCTTGTTTGTTCTAAGCTGCTTCCCCAAACCATCATCTCACTGCTGCATTCTGGGAGCTTTCTTTATCAGTATTTTCTAACTCTTGTTGACCATAATAATGCTGTTTTGCTTGACACTAATGTAGCTAAATTTGCTTTTGCATCATTCCTGTGCACTTGCCATGTATGCTACTATATTTAATGTTCTGTAATTGTAGATTGTTACATTCAATGTATATTTTATAAAGACTAGATAGATTCTAAGAGTCTTTGCACCGTGCAGCCTAATTTATTCACATTTACTGTGATTAAATGCGTTCTGACTTATTTAGAACATTGTATTTTCCATTTTGCACGCTTTCCCCCCCTTTGTCATGCTGCCTCCTTTGCACTTTACTCTCTTCTAGGTGGAGTGAGATTTCCCTCAATTCATCGGACCCTGTCTAATGGCTTGAATATATCCCCGATAATCCATGACTCTTGCATTTCTACATGAACATTTGACTTAAATACCCAAAGCTTGTGAGACTCTTTACCCCCCTCCAAAATAACACAAGGACTTCTGTTTATCTTCTTTAATCTTTTTAAGACTTACTCATTTTATTTTTTTATGTGCATGAGTGTTTTGCCTGTATGTACACATGTACACTATTGTGTTTTTGCCTGGTACCTGTGGAAGTCAGAAAATGACATCAGATGCTATGGGACTGGAGTTGCAGAGGGTTGTAAGCCACCAGATGGTTGCTGGGAATTGAACCTGGGTACTCTGCCAGAGCAACAAGTGCTCTTAACTGCTGAGCCATCTTTCTAGCCCTGTTCATT